AAGCCATCCAGCTGGTTTCTTTTATAAGGGAGTCCCAAAGCGGTTCATTCCTTCATTTCCTACTGAGCACCAGCAAGAAAAATGGGCTCTTTGGGTCCAGGTGCGTGGGGTTCAACAAAGGGCCGTAGTGGAACTTGAGTATTGGCCCTTTGTTTTTTGGACATAAACGCACTGCGTGCAAAAGCTACGCGGAGGCAGAAGCTGGTGCATGTTGTGTACTATGTTTCTAAAAAGTTGTGACCCTTGATTACGGTGTGGTTTGCATACTACCCTTGTACTGAACAAGTGGAATTTCCGAGCTGAAGTTGCCGCAGAGTATTTTGCATACCTCGCTGGCATTGAATTGCCGATTGCACTGAAACATCAGCTTCCCCTGCTTTAACGGCTGCATGTAATTGGGAGAGGTCCTTTGAGATCTTCAGGGTCTCTTCCAATAAGCAACGTGGACAGTAGGGTTTCAAAAGACAACCATTCTTTTGGGCCCCTTGTCCACTTCTATTCTTGGCAAGTGCCCTCCCATCCATGTTGCCATGGATCTGACTGGGTCCTGGAAGACATTTTCCTCCAGCTGAACGCTGTGGGGTCCATAGGCCCAGATAAGCATTGGGGGTGCACGGAAGCTTTCCAGGTTCTGCGCTGGGTCCCGATACCGCCGGGGCTGATCTTTTTTTCTCTCTAGCTGGGTTATCCAAAGGTAATTCTGAATCCTTGGGTTACGCAGGTTTTGGCCTTTGTGGTGGCTTCCCAAAAGGGGATTATGGAACCAAACCTCCATGTTGAACAGCCCAGTCAAAGGGACCGCCGAACCCACGGCAAGGCCCGGATCTTCGAGGTGGCGGTGCTGCGTTTGACGGAGCCATGCCTGGCTGAGCAGCTGTGCCCGGGCGCTCAGTCCGCGAGTTTGATACGCCAGAAGGAAAATGGGTGTGGCGGCTTTCTTCGGGGAACTCTCTTTAAAGAGGGAAACCAAAGGGACACCAGCCATTGGGGGTTTTCGAACAAAGGACATGCCCACATTGCTTTCCACAGGTTTCCCTGTTTTGGCAGAAGGTTTTGAGGCTCCATGATAGTTGCTGAAAGTGGAAACGATTACAATATAGCCCACGGCTCGGGATTGAAGCTTCCTTGTGGAAGCTGACGGACAAATCTTAGCCACCCCACAAAATTCAGCAATTCTGTTTAAGCCCTGGGTGTGAGAAGCAGAACATGAGAGAGGCCTCTGGCGATTGTGCCACTCCCTTGCTACAAAAAGTCGTACTTGGATCTAATCAAACTCCGGAAACGACCAGATGATTGATGCAGCATTGGGATGAACATCAACATTGGGTTTGAAAGGTTTGAGCAGGTTTACGACCTGCCCAAATTGGTTGGGGAGCTCTCGCTCGTTGGATTGCAATGTCGATCTTGGGATGTGGGTTCACCCAGATTCAGCAGAGAACCAGATCCCTGGAACCCTGGGACCGGAAGGCCAAGGTTCTTGGGTGCCTGATTTTGGCGGTGACCCTTTCCTTTAGCCTTGAGAGATGGGTCATGCAATCCCGAGAACTGCAGTAGAGGTATGAATATCCATGCACCCGGCTACTTGAAATCAAGAGGAGTGGCGTCATGAAGACGTTGACAGAGAGAAGCGCTACAGCCCTGACCATTGCTACTATGGTAGTCCATTGAAATTAGGTAGGTGGTCGGCTTCCTTTGGATTTCCTGCCAGCCGGTACCAAGGAGCCCCTAGTGTTGCTACAATATATAATGTACGTATAATATATATATATATATATGTGCATATATTACATATATATATATATATGTATATTGTTTTCACATATATACCTATGTTAAAGTGCCTGAGGTTGACCGTGCAGGGAGGGCTGCAGGTCCCCGCTCCTTGTCAAATCCAACTTGCAGGGGTAGGTTGGCCTGATGGTTTCAGTCGCTTCCGAGGCTATTGCCTGGATGGCGTAGTGGACCAACAGGCCGCTGATGTTGGCACTACAAATGGGTGGGTTCTTGGGGTTCCATGTCAAGCTGGGGAGTAAGGACAGCCCTGTGGTTCATATGTACCCTGGGAGTTTACATGCTCTAAACTTTGACACTCACGAAGGAACCCAATGTCAAGCCTTCTGTTGCGTGTGATTTCTGGACACATGTCACGGTTTGTCTATTTGGACCAGCCAGCAAACTGGCCTGAGTGCACTTCTTCCTCATTGCGGCATCCGAATTTTTAGGGCCCCTGGGTATCAGCACCAACTCACTGACAATCTGATTGGTATCTACTGTTGATTTGGGGAGGACATGGGACAATCCAAAAAATAAGGGGACAACCCCAGTTTCCAATGCCCTTTTGGGGAGACAAGCAATTTTGTCCGGGGCAGCAGTTGTAGAAGTGAGTTCCAAGGCCCCGAAAGAAGTCTCCAGGCCGATCGTCAGCTTCCGTTGGGAGGGTATCAGGATGTCTTGCCTATCACCGGGATCCCGAAGAGCACCTAGGGCTTCAAAAAGCAGTACCAATGGCACCCCAAAGAGGATTAAATAACTTTCACATTTTCCAGACCCCTGTAATGAACTTTAGCAAGCTGTCCCTTTGCCAGAACCCCAGGCCCAGTTTGGATCATCCCCTTTCCCATGCCAGGCGGCGGTCCTGGAGCCACGCCTCTTCGGCACGGTGGCGGAGAGTTTGCTGAAGGGCGCTCAGGCAGGGCTCAGCTTTGGCTTCAATTTGGCTATGGGTCAAAATTAAAACCACCGGTGGACCGCATTTACCGGGGATCCATTTTTGTTACCTATTTTTGACCCACTGCCATTTCTTTTTTCCAATAGGCTTTAGATCGCTTTCTGCAAGGTCAGCTGCCTTGCGAACCAGAAAACAGTGTGGTTCTTTTGTGGGTCACGCCTTTTTTTCCAGTGGGCTTCCCTAAGTCAAGTTCCTGTTAGGCTTCCTTTCAGATGCGTCCCGAGAGGGTCCAGCGCAGCTAATCCGTTCCCATCACCTCTCGAAATGATCGATATCATTTGCCGAGGTCAGTTTGACTGCCAAAGGCCGGATATCCTTCCTCGGTCCAAAAGCATCTTACAGTCTTAGACCATATTCGAGCAGCAACAAATGGCGTCTCTTCAGCTTGATCAAGCGAACATCTGAAGAAAAACAAATTTCGCTCTTTTCTTCAACAAAGTATGTTTTCAATGAAGACTACCTGAAATGTGGTTCCATGGTGCTCCACGTGTTGCTTCAAACATTGGAGCTTCCACGGAATTGTGCTGGAAATTACTGGAAGTGGAGGAAAACAACTTTTATTGGAGCATCCTCATGCTTGGCTCAACGTACAACTGGCAATAGGCCATGCTCGCAAATAGACTGCTGAACAACTTCATGCGGCAAGACGCAAGGCTAACAATGTGCTATCAGGGCATGACAAGTAGCTTTAATCAAGGTTGCTTTAACCTCATGTGGGCAGAGTGTGCGAGCAGCTTCAGTGATTGTCCAGCATTTGTTCAGCATTATTCCTGCGAATTTCCTCCATCCACATCCACCTCCTACCATCGCCTACCCATTCCAAGTAAGGCCTATGCTGGCTTTGTAGCCTTGCTTGGTTGCTGTTGCTTATCAACCTAGAGCTGTGCTTGAGGCTCACAACTCTCAGAAGAGGCCGAGATCGCGAGATCGCGAGTAGAGCGAGCAGAATAAGAAGAATCATCGAAAACCCAACAACGTGGCAGGCTATGGCTCGGTTTTTGCATGGGAAATCCACTGGAGGTCGCAGACCCCCACAGTCGCGCGCACCTGGCGCTCTTTGGCGCCTCGGCGTTTTATTCAAAGAAGCGAGCAACTTTGAGGGGGGAGATGATTGCCCGATTCCAAAAAAAAGGAATCACACTTTCATGGGACACCAAAGGGATTTGGGGGCTTCCTCGCGTCAAAACAGTCCCCTTGGGCATAGGGGAATGGGAGGATTTAAGCTTTTGACCATTCGCTTTGCCCGTGTTTGTTGTTTGTGTCAAGGCTCCCAGAGTCCACCCTTTTATTTTCAGGCCCTTTAAGTTCCTCGAAAACACTTGAGCCAAGTCTGGGCAACTGCAGACCTGCCCTTGATTGTTGATCAATGCAATGTTTTCTCTTATGTGTACCTTGCTGACATGATTGCTTGATTGGATTGCAGAACCTTTTCCTTGTCCCTTATTGGCCACGGGGCTGTTCGGCAATACTGAGCCAGTTGTCCGTGAGCTGGCTGACCATAGCTGGCTGCATCATGACTCGGAGATTGACAAGCTGTTTGTCAAACGGGTTCTTCTGCAGAGAATATGAAGTCTGTGCCTGCGAGGGATTGAGCTGCGGCTACCTGCCACTGCTTTACGAGTTGTTTTTGGATCAACAATGAAACGCGTCAAATTGAGAAGACACTCTGTGCAGTTCAACCCTTACGTCCATTGAGCAATGTACTCTCCGGTGGATGTGGTGGGCGGACCTCTCGAAAACGCTCTGAAGGCATGCAGTTTGTATTCTAAGATCGGAAATCAAACGACATCCGTGGCAAAGGGCCAGAACATGCTCTGATTTTGAGGCCCAAGACATCACTGGAAGCAACATCATCATGCACTGTCCATGCCAGCGAAACAGCTTCGAAGGTAGGTTTTGGCGGTGGGGCACTATACATATATATATATATATATTGTTGATCAAAAGGTCCTTGCAAGGAGTTATGTATTCGGTGACCATTCGTCTTGGCTTAAATCCCTCCGCGAAAGATCGGCGATGGAGTTCGCGAAAGAAACTTATTTTTTCGCGAAAGTTTCCGCGTTGAATTCTTGGAGGCATGCCTGTGCACTTACATATTTGCAGACCCCCGCTCCCTTGTAGAGAGGGAGATGCGCAGCACCTACACTTGCATTATTGATTCCCTGCCTGTGTTGGGATTGGTGCAAATCAATAACGTTGGCTGGGCTATTTTGGAGCAAGTTTCGCGAAAGATCCGCGAAAGACTGGCGAAAGGCCAGGGAGCTTGTTGCAAGGTTCCGCACATCGCCGGCAACCGCAAGTGGCAAGGGCGAATAGCGGTGACTGCCTGCACTTGACACTACGTACTGCACGCAAGTGAACTGCGGCTACCGTGTTTGCAAGCACAACTGCAGCAGCCACAATGGCTCCAGAGCGCACGCTGCAAACAAAACGACGTGGCGATGGAGTCGCGAAAGATTCGCGAAAGAAACTTTTTTCTCGCGAAGATGGCGTTTTCCGGAAACAGGAATATTGATCAACTGCCAATATATACACATTTACATTGGACCCGCCTAGGGGGTACCCAAAATCCAACCGAAGATGAGTTGCGAAAAAACTAATTTCAGGAAAACATTTTTCCAGGGGAAGCCGCTTCACCTACAAGGGGAATGTGACTTGCGCATCGGAAGTGAGCCACAAGGACGAGTTCCAGGAAGGCCAAAGCAAGTTGCGAAGACGAATTCCGCGAAGACGAAGTACTGGGAGAAGACGAATTGCCCAGCGATGACGAATTGCGCAGACGAGTTGCGCGAAGACGAATTAGCGGGCAAAGACGAATTACGCAGCGAAGACGAATTGCGAAGGCGAATTGCACGAAGACGAATATCAGGCGCAGGCGAACTATGCAGCGAAGACGAATTGGGAAGACAAATTCTGCGAAGACGAATTACTCAGCGAAGACGAACTCCGCGAAGACGAATTTCCAGGCAAAAACGAATTGCGAAGACGAGCTTACCTGGCGAAGACAAAATTGTGCTCGAATGGGGTTTGCCCGCGAAGATGAGTTGCCAGGCGAAGACGGCTTGGGAAGACGAGCCTCAAACATGAATATCGCGCCCATCACCCACAAGCAGCGCAATCCAACGACGAATTGCTTGGAATACGTGCAAAAACAGTAGGCGCTTAGCCCAATCGGCCGGGGATGGACAGCGGCAGTGTTGCCTGGGTACCCCGCCAACGGGCGCCCCAATCCACCAACCCACCAGCCCACTCAGCCGCGATAGGCAGCTAGGTAGATAGATAGGTAGCTGGATAGATAGATAGGTAGAAAGAGTAGATAGAGATATAGAGATAGATAGAGAGATTGCATAGTAGATAGATAGATAGCCAGAAAATAGGTAGGTAGATAGATAGACTGGTGGACTGATAGATAGACAGATAGATCAGTACATGAACAAGCAGATAGGTAAGCGCGTAGGAAAAGATGGACAGGTAGCTTGACTGACATGGTTAGATAGGTCGATAGATAGATTTTGATAGGTGGGTAGATAGATATAGATAGATGGATAGTTTGACGGGTAGATACTACATGAACATATAGCCAGGCAAGCAAGATTGGCGCTCCTCCCCTTCTTGCTGGGGGATGAACTGTTATTTGATCCCGAACAAGTTTTGTTGTTTGATTTCGGACCTGGCAAATAACATGCAACGATTTGCCTGGATTTTGAAAGACATCAGTGAAATTGAGTTAAACTGGTCCGTTGGACTTGTGGGATTGCGTGGGATTGTTTTCGGGAAAGCATGCAACAAATATCCGTCTGTGCTGCCTTCCGCCATGCCAACGGTCAAGCCCTCCTACGTTTCATTGGGCCAACTGCGTTGCAGTATTCCTACGCTTAATTGTTCAAGATTACTGACGGCGCATTCACTTCTCCAAGGTGAGGTGTTCCACCAACCCCGCTCAAGTGACCTCTTTCTTGCCACGGGCAGCAAGAGCTACGGCGAGAGGCGACCGCTTGAAGATCGGTGTTAAAAGTTCAACGCGGATTTCCTGAACTTTGGACTTGAGTTCTCAGGCATCCTGTCGAAGATAGAGGACGACGCCGCATGAACCTTGTCGGCAACAAGCTGTTTCACGGAGTCAACTAACACGGTCAGCCAACACAATCGACGCCTAGCTGCTCACCCCATCTCACCCCGGGCCCCTGAAGGTCGCTTGCGGGCGAACAAGGGCTGCACCGACTTTGATGCGCAGGAATGGATCGAGCTGGTGGGCAAGAAGCAGAAGCTTTGCAGAAGTTCTCGCCGAGCACAGTGGAACATCCAAGCTTACCAACCATTGTTGCTCAGTTGAGGGTGAGCGCTGATCCGTTGATCCGTTCAGCGTGGGCAGCCTTGTTTTTGCTGCCACGACCTGGGCTATGGCGGGGGAGAAGTGTTCAGGATGCTGAACACCACCCTTGGCACAGGTTTTAGCAAGGCAGCGCCGCCGGCCAGGCCTTCCGCTTCTTGGCTTCAAGCCTGGCTGGACTCACACCTGGGAGAGTTGGGGCACAGGCTTGAGGCTACATCCAGTATGCCAACGTGCTTGTTTCGCACCGTGTCATTGGCCAACATGCGCGCGCTGCTCTTGGAACCACTAACAAGGTTACCAAGAGCGCCGGTGAACCCTGGAAACGGAAATTTCAAGGCCGGAGTTTCAAAGCGTCGGGCGTGCCAATTCTTTGTTCTCCAAAAGATGGGTGAGTGAGTGAATGAGTGAGTGAGTAAGTGAATGAGTGAGTGAGTGAGTAGTGAGTGTGTGAGTGTGTGAGTGTGCGGGTGAGTGAGTGAGTGAGTGAGTGAGTGAGTGAGTGAGTGAGAGAGTGAGTGAGTGAGTGAGTGAGTGAGTGAGTGAGTGAGTGAGAGAGTGAGTGAGTGAGTGAGTGAGTGAGTGAGGCGTGCGTGAGTGCGTGCGTGCGTGCGTGCGTGCGTGAGTGAGTGTGTGAGTGAGTGAGTGAGTGAGTGAGTGAGTGAGTGAGTGAGTGAGTGAGTGAGTGAGTGAGTGAGTGAGTGAGTGAGTGAGTGAGTGAGTGAGTGAGTGAGTGAGTTGAGTGAGTTGAGTGAGTTGAGTGAGTTGAGCGAGTTGAGCGAGTTGAGCGAGTGAGTGAGTGAGTGAGTTGAGTTGAGTTGAGTTGAGTTGAGTTGAGTTGAGTTGAGTTGAGTTGAGTTGAGTTGAGTTGAGTTGAGTTGAGTGAGTGAGTGAGTGAGTGAGTGAGTGAGCGAGCGAGTGGGTGGTGGACGGCGGACGGTGGGCGGCGGGGCGGGCGGCGGGCGCAGCGCTAAAAACAAGAACCCCGCACCAAGATGCGGGGAACTAGCTTTTCTATATTGAAACTTCCGCTCACTGGCTTCGCCGGCTCTACTAGTAATGTTACCCCGTGATCCGATTGGCCAAGGATCGCTTCGCTGCCTGGGTTACGCTCGAGCCCCTCCCCTCCAAAAACACTCTGCGTGATGTTCTGGTTAGCTCCTTGTCTGGCTTACTGTCGTCGAAGCCAGATCCCAGCGTCCCAGGCAGCAACGTCCTCCACTTGAAGTGGCCCCTTGAGGAGGGCCCGATGTTTTGTTACGAGGTGGTGACGGTGACGGAGGATACGGTGCTCAGGATGGGGCGCGGGAAGGAGCGCCCTGCCTTTGGCCAGGCCTGTCAAATCCGGCATTGAATGTTCTTCTTGCGGGTGTGTCTCTCCTTGTTGTTCTGCCTTCTGCCAAGTGTTTCTTGCGAATTTAGGGGGATCCTTCCGAACAAAAACTTACCTCTTAAAAACACAATTTTTCAACTTTTTGGGGGTAACATGGGCTATATGTCTGTATAAGGTTAACTTCCCCAGGGCTTGGACTTTTAAGGGGTAAGAAAACAGGTGACACTTTAGTATTTGTTCCCAGCGTTTTACCCACGGTGGACACGCGCATCGCCTTTCTTGTAGTGAGCAAAAGACTTGGGCAGAGAGAGATGCGCAGGGAATACCCATAGAGAGAGAGAGAGACAGAGAGAGAGAGAGAGAGAGAGGGAGGGAGGGAGGGAGGGAGGGAGGGAGGGAGGGAGGGAGAGACAGACGGGGAGAGAGAGAGAGAGAGAGAAAAACCTGTAAGGAGAAGCTTGTTCTGCGCAGCAAGCAGGGCTTCCAAAGAGAGGTTCGCGCAGAGACTTCTTGTAGAAGTAGGGTACTGCGCAAAATGTGGAGCCTCTTTGTTACCCCCCCCACCCCCACCGCCCGAATGCCAGCAATCATGCGGGACTTGAGCTTGCCAACGCTTACCGAAGTATTGGCAATGCTAAGTTTATTGTTGCACATGCTCCCAGTACTTATTCTATCCTTGCAATGGTCAATACTAAATTTATTACTGTCAATGCTCAGTCTCAGATTCCCAATGCTGACTTTTGTATTGCCAGTACTAAATTTACCGTAAATGTAAATGTAATATTGTCAGCGCAGACTTTGGTCGTCCACTCCACAGGAGCCCGAAACAGTCAGACTGAAGAGGGTCAGAGTCTCTTGGCCCCGCTTTGTGTTCTGATTGTGCTGCTTGGCCTCTTTTTTTACGGCTTTATTCACCAAGATCCAACCAAAGATGAAGACACATTGCGAAGACGAAGTCCCACAAAGTCGCAACCAGGCGAAGTCCAATCACCCAGCCAAGACGAACTTCAGGAAAACAAATTTCCAGGCGACGACGCTTCATGTGCAAGGGGAACGTGACTTGCGCAGCGAAATTGAGCCACACGGGCAAGTTCCAGGAAGGCGAAGACGAGCTCCGCGGAGACCAATTGCTGGGCGAAGACAAATTATTACTACCCAGCGAAGAGGAATTGCGAAGACGACTTCCGCGAAGACGAAGTACTGGGCGAAGACGAAGTACCCAGCGATGACGAATTGCGAAGATGAGTTGCGCGAAGACGAATTAGCGCGCGAAGACGAATCACGCAGCGAAGACGAATTGCGAAGGCGAATCGCACCAAGACGAATATCAGGCGCAGGCGAATTATGCAGCGAAGAATTGGGAAAACAAATTCTGTGAAGACGAATTACCCAGCTACACGCAGCGAAGACGAATTTTGCGAAGACGAATTTCCAAGCAAAAGCGAATTGCGAAGACGAGCTTACCAGGCGAAGACAAATTTGTGCTCGAATTCAGTTTTCCCGCGAAGATGAGTTGCCAGGCGAAGACGACTTGGGAAGACGAGCCTCAAACATGAATATCGCGCCCATCACCCACAAGCAGCGCAATCCAACGACGAATTGGTTGGAATACATGCAAAAACAGTAAGCGCTTAGCCCAATCGGCCGCTTTTCCATGTCCAAACACACGGGTTTGGGATGGATGTATACATATTACATATGCATATACCTATCAACAAAATAGTATCTTCAGTGCACGTTATTCATTTGTGAGTCTGTAACCCTGTACCTTGGACAAGCGGCTGGGGCCCACTATTTGAGAACAACTTGAAGCACCAATTCGGAGGCGTCAGCTTGGCCAGGCACGGTACACCAACACCTAAGGTGTGTCTAGACATCGGAGGCCCCCCCCAAAAATTGCGGTTTTCCCTTTGATTTGCTTTTGGAGCAACCGTACCCGCCTTCAAAGCAACCGTACAACAGGCATTCTCAAAAAAGTTACACAAATACATACTTAACTGATGCTTTCCTCCAGCTTAATCAGGCCTCCGCCTGCTGCCGCCAACCCGCATGAACGGAACATGCACAAAAATGGGAGCTTCAGCTTCTCCGTTAATTGGGAGCCTCCAAAAAGGACAAACAGCCCTGCTTTCAGAGCTTTTGCAAACTGCCCGAGTCCATGTTCCCACAGCAACAAGCCGATACACAAGCATTGATATGGGGCCAAGGACCGGGACTGGTCCCAGGAGTGCCAGGATTGGTTTCCCCCTTCCAAACAACTCCACCAGCACATAGAGGCCGATATGTTCTTCGGGCATCTGAAAATTGTGTGTTCCGTTTGGGTTTGAAACACCACGAAAAAGGGGTACCATGAACAGATGAGGCACCCATTTCGTCCTCATGGAAATCTGCCGGACTCCCGAGTCATTCGCCGAGGATGCCTCAACGAGCTTTTGGCCCGCGCTGCGGAGGAATCTGTGAGTGTTGACGTTGGTTTCCGTGCGCAAGATCGTTTCAAGAAGAGAGTTGCTGGGATGATTGGTTGCAAGCTCTTTTTGTTTCACGAAGGGTGTCCGGGCATGATTGGGGGGTAAAACGAGCTCATCATCGTAAAGATCCTTTTGTGAGGGATCCCTTATTTCAGGTTTTGGAAATATTGTACATGTTCCAGATAATTGGTTGCAGTTCTTTTGTTTTGCGCAGGGGGGAAAGAGTGGTGTGCGCAGCGGACGCCAGGACTGCTTGCCCCAGATGGAGTTGGTCCTGGAGGAGGTGATGCGACGGGCCGATGTGGAGCTGTCGCGCGGGCCAGTTTCGCGGAGCCCTTTGGCAGCCCTTCGGTCTTGGGTCCAACGTGCGCATCTGTGGGCGCATCTGTGGGCGCCCGATGGAAAGATCGCTACTGCCAAGGTTGACTTCCACAGGCTGGATATCCGTCCCCGGTCCACAGGCACCTTGGGTGTGTTCAGTGGAAGGCGTGCGTCTGAACGGATAAACAAATGCCCTACCCAACGGAGCCGCAGCACGGAAAGTCGGCGTCCTTCACACCGCTGGCCGGGTGTGGGGCATGCAGTCGAGGGGGTCTTTGGCCAACCCACCCGGTGCTGGGTGGATGACAGTGGGACTCATGGGCTAACGTGCTCACTGGGCTCCGATTTGCGCATGCTTGATTCGCGGACCGCGTAGAACTGCCAATGGGCCGAGCCTGCAAATAGACTGCTGAGAGGGAAGGCCCATGTTATCTTTGGCGCATGTGCATGGCTCTTGGGATGAGGAAGGATGGAGCATCTACCAAGCAACCATGCGGGGGTTCACATTCATAAACATATTTGCTCTTAGCTCTCATGTTTTGCGACCCCCAAAAGTCGGTTGCGCCTGACTCCATTCGGATTCTGATAGGTGGCTTGAACAAAGGAACAAAGGCATGCCGATGCCTGGCCTGATGACAGGAGGTCACTTCACTTGCACTGTGTTCTTTACTCCGTCTCTTTCTAACCAGGTACTTGCTTCTCCAGCATGTGGACAAGGGATGTTTTAGTGTTTCTTCTTTTTTTCAGCAAATAGTCATACAATAAAGATGGTAGGGAAGCCTGACAGATACCCATTGCAGCAGCACTTTCGAGCATCTCGCGCTCGATTTTAGTGGGCCCGTGCACTGATCCCGAGTCTTTGCCCCGCTGGTTGCTTAGTTCGCACAAATGTGGCTGATGCTTTCCCGGGGTTCAGCCAGGTCACAGTTTCCATGGGTTTCCGGATTCAAGGTTTGGCAAAACATTGTCATTGGCGTTGCAAAGGGAAGCCAAGTTGGAAATGATTTGGAAGCCAAAAGGAAGCTACCTCACGTCCACTTGTTCCTTTCTTCGGTAAACCCGAGTTCCACGTGTTTTTTACGCCTGGCCTCTCCGAGGCCTCCTCAGCTGCCTGCGGGTGGTGCTGCAGCGCGTCTCCGAAAGGTCAAAGAGGTGTGGCCCGGCGCTGGGGGCGTTGCTGGACCGCAGCCTGCGCTTGGACCCCACGGAGGAGGTGGGAACGTTGAAAGACCCTCCCATTGGTTTGGGGAGGGTGAGGGTTTGGGGAAGGGGGAGGGGGGGGAGGGGGTTGGGGGGGGGGTTGGTGAGGGGGTTTGGTGCACAGGCTGATTCGGAAGGCGTGGCCGGTGGGGAGGGTTTGGTGAGGGTTTGGGGATGGGGGGGGGTTGGCAGAGGCCCGTTTTCGGACGTGGCCCGTTTGCAGTTGGCAGTTAGGATGTGAGTTGGTCGATTGGTTGATTGAAGGAAAGGCCCGAGGCGCATGCGCTGTTGCCAATAGCCGATAACAAGTGGTCAGCTAGGACAAGGACTAGGAGCCCGTAGAATGGGTTGAGGTGAGTTGGCTGAGCCAAAAATACTGTCCAAGCCACTCGCATCATGGAACAAGCCCTGCTCGCTCGTGCTGACTGGCGATCTTGCCTAGCTACAAGCATATTACTTGCTGAATGTTTTGGGCAGCTCTTGTCACTAGTAGTCGAAGTGCTGACTTCCCTATAGGGGGGCATGATAGACTCGATTTGAATTTAAGCATCAGTGGCATCAGGGCTTGAATAGCCAGACTGTGATTGCCGGGTACATTTCAAGAAACCATTGTCATGCTCATAGGGCGATCATGCGTGTAGTTGTTTGACCCCTTTCACTTAGGTCTTGGTCAATCTGTCCCACATATTCTTGGGAGCCCGGGCTTTTCAATAGATGTGCGCCATTTGTCCGAGCCTCCAGAAAGCTCGGATTCAGCAACATGGTTCGTAGCTCTCAAGGTGCCATTTCAGCAAGTGCCCCATTTCACCGAGCGAAGCTGCGATCTTCAAAAAGTCGGTTTCGCCATCGGGTCCTGACCTGCGTTCAGATTCTGATACTATGTGGCCTGCGGCAAGGCATGCCAAGGCCTGGCGCATCTTTTTACTCGCGCTGGTTGTTTGTTCCGCCTCTTGCGGGGAAGGCTCATGTCTTGCCGGATGAAATTGCCCTACCCAACGGAGCCGAAGCACGTAAAGTCGGCGTCCTTCACACCGCTGGCCGGGTGTGGGGCATGCAGTCGAGGGGGTCTTTGGCCAACCCACCCGGTGCTGGGTGGATGACAGTGGGACACATGCGCTATTGTGCTCACTGGGCTCCGATTTGCGCATGCTTGATTCGCGGACCGCGTAGACCTGCCAATGGGCCGAGCCTGCAAATAGACTGCTGAGAGGGAAGGCCCATGTTGACTTTGGCACGTCGCCTGGTTGCTTGGTCCATGATAGTGCTTGTTTATTTTGAGCTGTGCTTGATGGCGATGGTCACAACTGTCAGAGGAGGCAGAGCTGGGATTCCGAGCTGCACAAGTAGATGAGAAGACCCAGGCATTGCGTGGCTCTTGGTCTCTGGGACGAAGTACATCAAACATTTTGCATGAGGATGGAGGTCGAAGGATTTGTTGAGAACTTGAGAAGGTATTTTCGCAGCTGTGATTCATTTGTGCAGGAAGCGCTTCGAGCTATTGGATCGCTGGCAGCATTGGGAGACGCCCAGGCACGAGACGGACTGGGTAACTGATGGCTTAAAGGGAAACCAGGGTTTGCGTTTGGAGACAAAGCCATCTGATTTGGAGCCACAGCAAGAGGAGCCAGTAGCAACCAGGCGAGCTTGCAGGCCATGACCTCACACCTTCCCTTAGAGCACTTGGTCGCCATGTGAATCATTCCAAGCCTGGTAATTAAATGGTCTTCCCAAAACCATGGTGTCTTTCCCTGGCCCCATGGTCACCCTTGGATTACTTGGCTCGTCTTTGGCCGGTTGAGTCAAAATCAAAGCCTGGTATTATAGTGGTCTACCCGGAGTCTACCCCCATGTAAACCTTCACCTAGGAGCGGCGTGAGCAGCATGAACTTCTGGGCTTTCCTTTTAGTTTCCCCCGGCCGCATTTTGAAGTGGGCATCTGCCAATTTCGTTGCTCCTGTGGGCTCGGGAATCAAAGAGTTTCTTAACCGATTCACAAAAACAAACTTCGCACCAGTTGTGTGGTGGTTTATCCCAGTCATTTGTGACCTTTGGAGAAACAGATGGCCCCAGTACATGGAACACTGCAGATCTAAATCACTGCCATCTATTTGTATCCAAACTAACCTAAAAAGGACACCTATGTTTTATTCACCCAACTGGCGCAGACTTCTTTTTTTAATCCACAGCCGAAGCAAACGTCGCAGGCTCTTTTACCTTGGGTGATCAGCGAGCTTAGTGAGTAATTCCCTGTTAAACGACTAGCAAAAGTTGAAATATCTTTGAACAACATGGTGTTCAAATAGGGACACTTGCAAGATTTTGTGGTTTGCTTTCAAATCGGTGAAAGCCCTAAGGCGGGGCTTGTGGGGCCCTGCCTAAGGCGCCATCCCTCCCGGCTTCGCAGGGGGCTCCGGAACCGTCATTGCCCCCTCCACTTGGAGTTCAGACTGGCCGAGCGCCCCAGGCTCCGTAAACGTCATTGCCTGGCAAAAGGGGGGGCCCGCAGTACCAGCAGCAGAAAAACGAGAGCTCGTGCCAGCAGCACTGCAGAAAACTAATAGGGAAGCGCTCCCATGAGTGAGCACGCCTGCGAAACAATCGGGGAGCGCCAGGGAGAGCACCTTGTACAGCGCCCGCAATGAGGACCCCGTGGCCTGCAGAAAGTAAATTGGGGAGCACCCCATGAGCGAGCAAGCTCGCGAAACAATCAGGGAGCACCTGATAGAGCGCCAGCGAGCACGCCCGCAAAACAATTGGGGGGCACCCCATGAATGTGATCGCCCGCAAGACAAGCGGGGAGCACCCCGTGCCCGCAAAAGAATTGGGGAGCACCCTACAGGCGAGCGTCCGCAAGACATTTGGGGAGCACCCCATAGGCTGGCACGCCCGCAGCAAAGAATAAAAAAACACAAAGCCGCCAGGGGAGGAGAAGGCGCGGGAGAAGAGCGCCCTCCAGTCACGCGCCTAGGACACAAGGCCGGGAAAGAACGTGCCCAGGAACGTCACCAAGCCGTAGTCGAAGATGGGTACCTCAAGGTCGGCGGATAGTGCCGGAGGCTCCAAAAAAAAAGGTGCAGCAGCAGCAGCAACAACAACAACAACGACGACAGCAGCAGCGACAAAGGCAAGGCCAGCAACAGCAGCGGCAGCAGCAGAAGCATCCAAGGCGGTACACAGCAAGGAAAGAAAAACGGGCGTGTGGGTTGGTTTGCCTCTGGCGCACCAGTGACCACACGCGATCAAATCGTGTGGTGGCACCCCTGAGCCTACCGAAAGCGCCCGGCCCCACACACAGCTCAGGGTAGCCTCATAAAGAAGACTAGGGCCCGGGGAGTCACCTCTCTTGCTTGGCTGCGCAGCCAGAAGATTTTGGACCCCTTTTCGGATCTGGCGACTTGGACGGCAAAACAGCTAAGGTGGAATTCGTCCCAAAAACGGTTCCCCTACCCTAAGCACCATTGAACGTTCCATTGGAGGGGTTTGGATCTCCCTCAAAAGAGGCGGCTCATGCCAGAATCTTTCTTTGTCACGTCTGCCACCCCCCACGCCCACGCACGCTGATCTCAAAACGCAGAACTCGAAGGAATTTTGCGCAGTCCAAGGAACTGACTGACCAACAACAACAACAACGTCTTACGACTGGCCGTTTTCCCACGGAAGGCGTAACTCACTCAGCTAGAACCTCATTCAGCTGACAGGCTTAGCTCAAAAGCTAGGTGCCGGCCTACTGTTGGATGCATAGCAAAGATGTTTTTAGCGTGTCAAAACCGGCCTCGTTACCTTTTGGTGTTTATGCGATCCCTTTTCATGCTGGTGACATGCTGTTGACCGGAGGCCGAGTGGTCAGTACCCCTTAACAAACCTTCAGCTACCCCCCGGTTGAGCCCCGTGAACTTCTTTCCCAGTCATTTACCCAACCCCCAAACCATCCAAGTGGGTATGTTTCATGTCTACACCCCCCCGCCAAAAAAAACAACAACAAGGTTTTCGTCTACACCGACCCCCCCGAAAATGGTTTGTTCCACACCACCCCCCCCCTCCCCACAAACAAAAATACATAAAGAAATGGTATGTGTCGACACCAAGCCCCCGCAAATGGTTTTGGTTCCACACCAACCTAAAAAGGGGTTACGGGTTACCCCCAGCAACTCACAAGCATAGGTGCCTTTCTTGCTTGTTTTGGTGATTCTTGACCAGTTTCTTCGACCAGACCCATCTATTCTCAACCAAATGGACACCAAGCAGCTCACGGCGTCGACTCCGCAGGCGGTGGTTGCGTTGTGGCCCTTCCTCCTGTCCGCGCTGCGCGTGGACCTCCCTGATCCCTGCCTGGCCGCCATTTCCGCAGTGACCGACGTGGCCAAGGCCTTTGCAACCGAATCAGAGTTGGTCCGTAGATTGGAAGCTTTGAGCTGACTTCATCCACGTTTGCCTGGTGGGATGAGCTTTGCCTGGAGAGCTAGTCACCGAGAATGCATGCTAGATTAGCTGCACTGGAAATGAGTTTGTCTCAAAGTTCGGGAACCCCAGAATGAGTTGTGTCCCTTTAAAATAACCCCTCCAAAGGGTACTAGTACCAGACCCAACTATGCATCTGAGTCGGGCATAGACACCACGTATGAATTCCCAGGAAGAGAACGTCAGAACTGGTCGACAAGCTCCTGTGGTCGATAAATTGAAGCTTGTCATTTCCTGGATCAAGCAGCATGTTTGCCACAAGATCACATCCCAGGATTGCCATTCCAGCTCCTCAAAGTTCCCAGCAAGATTTCCATCCTGCTGTGTCCTTCTGCAAGCCATCAACAGGGGCGGTTCCACAATCTGTTATATTGGATGCCCGGGCCCGGAGAGGCGTTTTAAACCGAGCACCCACTTACGAGACTAAGCTCCACGATGTACAAGCAATGCGCTTGGGATGCCCCTTCCCCACACACACAATCTGCGTAATCACCATTGCTCGGAAAAGTATGGCCGGCCAACTGGACGAGCAAACAAGCAAAGAATCCCTTGAGAAGCATGGTCTTGAAGTACCGATCGGTCTTGGTTTTGATTTGACTCATGGGGGCGGGGGTGGGGGGGGGGGCGGCGGGAACTTCCTGGGAGGCGCTGGGGGAGTGCTTCGCGCCTTTGGGCGCCAGCGCGGTGGAGGCGCTGGCAGCCGTGGCGAAAGCTGGTGGGCGCTTGGGGCTGCGGGCCACGCAAGGCCTCAGCGCCATCTTTGAGGCGGGGGAGGAAATGGGCCTTTGGAGTTGAGGCGTTTCTTCCATGTGTTTTTGTTGGGGGCCATGGGCATATCCTTGCTTCCATTTGCTGAAGTGAATATGTTTAGCTTTCCCCCCGGTTTAAAGGAAATCGATTTCACTACGGGACAAAGGTTTATTTGTTCCAGGGGACTTCAACAAACAGAGGATTTTGCAATCCAGAAAATGGGAGCGAAGCTGGTTTCTTGAGCTCCACTGTCTTTATTTTGCTTGGCCCAAAAACCCTGGGGTCAACAAGAGCAGGCCTGCAAGGCGTATTTTGGGCGGGGAAGGTGGGCATGGATGCTGGTCTATTTTTGCAGCCTGCTGGGTATTTGGTGAAGTCGAGTCTGCAACCAAATAGACCACGGCGAGCCGGGCGCCGTCGGCTCCGCGTCGAGTCCGCGTCCGCGGGCGTCGCAAAAAGGTCCTGGGCCGGCACACGCCGCACCTCCCGGAGCTGCTGGCGCTGCTTCAGTCGCTGGCAGGGCCGAAGCTGGAGGCGTCGAAGTCCGGATGGGCGGAACCTGCCGAGTTCCCTTCGAAGCCCCTTCAAACCATGCAAAGGGTACCCTCAAAAAGAAGGCGCCGCAAAAAGAAGGAAACGCAACATGGTTTTAAACGGAAAGAACGATGTTTACTTGGGTTGATAAGGATGGTCATCAATCCCTCAATTGAACCCCGACCATAGCCCACATAAGGAGTTGTGGCTAGCACGTTTACTGTGAAAAAGGGTTGATGGACATAAACCCGCATAAACCCCAATGCAACAGTCATGTCCACCAAAGTGTTCTAATCAATGTGATAAAGTAATCGTGGGATTTATCCGGACCACATTCATCACAGACCAGACAGACTGACAGAACATGTATTGAGAGAGCGAAAGAAAGCTGAGTCACAATCAATACCTGGGTAGATCGTTTTACTACCGGGTTTTTTATTCTCCCCACTCGAACGCTGCGTCGCACCGATGCAGCTAGCACAGCTTGAGCGATGCTGAGCCTGCACTTCCCGAAGTGGCTCAAGGCCACGAACGTGCAAAATCACAGGCCCTCCGAAGTGGCCTGGACGTAAAGAAAGCAGCCAGCACAGTGTGAACACGTTGCGCCAGCGCATCAGGCCAAGGAAACACAACCCCCGGTAACAGCCTTAAAAATACCACAAGAAGGCCGAGTTACCTGCTCCACTTTCAGCTCCCAACCAAACACATCGGCAACCAAAGCCCCCAAGGTCCGAGGAAAGGTCTCACCGGCAGAAAGTGCAGAGGGGTCAATCCAAGTCTGTGTCCTTTCATTGGAAACCAAAACGGGCAAAACAACAGCGGACTGCAGGTGGAAACCAACAAACAATTCCAAAAAAGACAGGCATTTCCATGGTGGCCTCCAAATCTAAACTCGAGATCCAATCCGTGAGAGCCCTGGCAGTCGTGTCACTGAAAGCCCTCACCTGCTCATGTTGACTAAGCAGCGGATATGGATTGAGAGGCAAAGTGTCAAAAAAGTCTCCAGTATTTGGAGATGCGGTCAAAAAGAAATCGTCTCCTACCCAATCTTCATCATCAGGATCAGGCGTTTTGATCAGGGCTTCGGTTATGTAGATGCTGTACACAAAGCTCATCATACAGTTTCCGAAAACCAGCCGTTTACTACCGGGTTTTGATTATGACTCAGCTGGGGAGATTAGTAGAAATTCGGGTGGACTAGATCAGTCGGTTAGAAAGATAGACTGGGAAAAAAGCTGCACAGACCCATGGATTGAATCAAATAGATCCCTACCAGGGTAGCCACCGATCATTCGTGTAGCTCTCTGTCCGAAGCTGGCATTCTGACTTTAAATTGGAGGCTGTTTAGACATCATGTATTGGTTTTGCCATGGCCGTTTCGCACTCAATGTAGTGCTTGAACTGGACACCGCTAAATCGATCCATTTTCGGGAATCGGAGAGCCCCTGGAAGTCGGAGGGAAGGGATGGGCACGAGAACTGGCCGGCTTTGCGATGGTTTCGATGGAGTTGGTTCGCTGTTCGCTGATCGGTTCTCTTTGAAGGGCTTCGCAAAGCCCATGCATGTGCCCATTGGAATCAGGTCGACTCTGACTCAAGAAAAAGCCTGTACATGAATCATAGCTTCGCATGCATGCAATCATGTATCTATTTGTGTATGTGAATACGAGACTTGGTTGATGGCATGGAGAATCATTTGGGGGCAGCATGAATCCCATGGTTGTCGCCCCCCCCCCAAACCCCCTCCCCCCGATGCCAATGGGGGCGAATAGGGACCTGATGGGAATGAGCACGCGACGGGGAAGGTTGTTCGGCGGCTTTCATCAGCCCTTGGAACCAATCCCGAGTCCTTAGAAACGGCGAGGCAGCGTTCGCGCGTGTCGGGTTCAATGGCTGGATAGGGCTCGTTGCTTAGCTTGGAAGATCGAGGGCCAGCAAAGCAACCCAGAAGCAGACACCTGCAATCCGCAGGACAGACTGTTGAAAGAGCATTGACCACAACAGCTTGATTGAGTCTGGGAGGCTAGCAGAAAATAAAGCAGGGTTTTGCCATATATCATTGTTTGCAATATCCAACAACAGTGGCTTGGCTGTTTTGCCTTGGAGCAGCTTTGTGCATACCGCGAATTGTCGTGACTTCTTAAGGTTGCAGGAACAGTGCTCTCTCCCACTGTGCCACACACCTTTCCTGAGTACGTTGGCTCAACAGGGGCTGGGCAGTAACAGCCACTGACAAGTTCTTACCCGCCACTGGGGTGAAACTGGGCCGAGCCGTGTCCTAGGAATTCGAGCGGAGCCAAGGCGGGGAAAGTGGGGCAGAGCTGTTGGCAAGGAGCTGCGAAGCAAACGACAGTGACAAAGGCCAGCTGCTGTGATTGGTTGCCACTTGGGTATGTGTCGCAACCAGCGGACCCCATCATACCCCATCCGGGTGGTTGTTTCAAGTTGATTCAGACTTGTCCAGTTCAGTCCAGGTTCCTAAAACATCACCTGCAAATCAGAGGTTTTCAAACAAGTTCAATGACTATGATCATGCTCCTTCCAAGCAGCTCGGAGAGTTACGTTTTTCAAGGTGTGCACATGTGTGAGGTGTCATCCAAATATGTTATTGGCTGTCTGCACCTGCCACTTGCAGGTGCCGTCCATGAGTCGCAAGAGCTTTTGGAGGCGCCGCATTTGGCCTTGGAGGGTCCAGGAGTATTTCCCTTGATTGTTCAACCATCAGCCAGAGGTATGCTCCAGTGTGGTGGTGAGACCTTTCATTCTTCTCACATGGCTTTTGGTTGCCAATGATGGCGCTGTCCTTTGATCTAATGTCTAAAGGGGACGTCAGAAGCTCCTGACGCGGGCAGCATGAATGTCAACTGCATTGGATTTTGAGTCAAAGTGCTGAGAAGAAAACAAGCCCCAAATGAGTGCCTAGACTAGGTCTTTAGGTTTCGGGCCCGCCCCAAAAAAGCGGCGGGGTTCCTGTGGTCTTTTGTATCCAAAGCATTCCCGATGTCGGCAATGTCCATGGCCAGAGGCTGAAATCGGATCGTTCTGCACAGGTGGTGTTGTTGGCGCATGAAGCTCTGCTATGCCAAGGCGGGAAGCCTCTGCGTTCCGTAGATTCCTATGCCAAGGGGGTTGGGAGGAGCGGGAGGTAGTGCGTTGCTTTTGCTTCTTTTTGGGTGGGGAAATCGGGAGGTTTGGGGGGGCAGTTGGGTTGTGGTGTGAGGGTCTGGGGGAGGGGGGGTCTCTCTCTCGCTCTCTCTCTCTCTCTCTCTCTCTCTCTCTCTCTCTCACTCTCTTTTGAATGTTCCAATTCCAGGGGCTCCCCCTTTGGAGTACAAATCAGCCCTGGGTTGTCCTGAGAGAAAGCCATTTCCAAGAGCTGAACTCTGATGGGACTGCTATAAGGCCCCCTCTCGCTGCAGGTGAGGGGCGACAGAAAACCGGGCAAGACGTATTTTGTTGACCGAGGGTTTGCCCGCCATTGCCGCTGTCAAGCACCTGTGCTCCCCATGGCTTGGAGAAGTCGTGATCCTTGGGCATTTCTTCAAGTTATGACCTTAGGGGTTGCGATAAAACATATCTTATGGGCCATCCCTCGGTTTCCCCTTAGGGAGTCCGACTACAACTGCCTCTTCCCACGCTTCAGCCCGCGTAAAGGCGACTCGGCGGCGCTGGCGGGGTCCGCGGGCTTCGCTCTGCGGCTGCTGCCGGCCATGCGCACGGCCAAGGCACGGCGGGGCGCGCTGAAGCTGCTGCGGCACTTGGCGCAGGACACGACCAGCGGTGGGGGGGGGGCCTCGGGGAGCCTGGGGTGGCTGGGGCTGGGGGTGCGACTCCCAACATCCCCACCCCTTTAAATATGGAATTGGGGGAGGGGGTGAGAACCCTGGAATTGTATTTAATGGTTCCATTTTCGTTGTAAGGGGAAGACTAGATAACCGGAATTGGGGACCCCTACCTCCCTTCCCCTTATGGTAGGGGGCATCTCCCAACATGTTGGAGGAGGTGTCATGTTGGGTTTTGCCTTCACAACCCCAAGGTATGATTAAAAGCGACGCGCCGAGCGGGTTGCGCGAGATGCTGTTTTGAGGCAACTTGTTGCGTGGCGATATTTGAGTGGCATTCAGAAATCAGCCTCGCAGCTTGCGGATGCGGGCCAGTGCCCCTCGAGTTGGACACGGGAAACCTCAGAACAGTTTTTGCCGCTTTCCTTTTGCCGACCTCTGACAAGTGTGCCATGTTTGAGTCTGCTTCCAACCCGGCGCCCCTAATGACAGCTTCATCCAACGACTATGTGTCCAGGGGAATCCGCAGGTTGCTTACCTTGTGCTATCCATGATGTGCCGACCCCAAACCCACGAAACCCGACCCCTCTTGATTTTGCCTTTAAACTCACAAAGAACAACGAAAGGTCTTTTTTTTGGGACCCCCCCCTCCAAAAAAAGAACAGTGTCGTTTTCTTTCTGAATCCGCCCAAAAAGGGTTATCCTCAAACAATTCGACGCGTGTAGAAAGCGGCGCAAGCCCACAGCGCGCGAGGAGGCGCCGCTGGAGCTGCGGGCCTTCTTGGCCCAGGGCGCTGCCCGCAGCTGCGCCACGGAGCTGCTCTCTCAGCGCTAGCCGACGGCGCTGGGGGCTTTTGGCGATGGGTTCTGATTTTGGGGGGAGGGTTCCCCCTGCTGGTTTGACAGGGGAAACCCGTTTCCCCCTCAAGCAAACCAACCTGCACTGGTCCTAACTAGGTCCCCCAGCTAGGTGCCCTTTCTCACCCAACTTCTTTGGTTGGTTTTGGGTTGCGCTACTAAAATAAACTACAGAAAAAGTAGGTACCCTTATTCTAACCTCTCTACAGGATAGGCAAAACGTGGAACCCTGTTGTTTTTTGCACGAAGGCAGGAAACAATTTCCAATCAGAAGCGAATCTAGTCAGAAGCACCGGAGTTGAGGCGTTTCTTCCATGGGCCATTGGCTGAAATGAATATGTTATTTATGTTCCCCTGGTTTAAAGGGAATCGATTTCATTCCACACACGGGGGGAGGGATCACGCTCCAAAGTGGGTGGTTTCAGGATCTTTTAAGAGCTCTGACATGGAATTGGAGACGTCAACAGATTGCGCGAATCATCCAAAGGAAGGGCGGGTGATTCGATCAGTGGGACAGAAGCCATGGACTTTGTTTCAGACTGCAAGACTCACACCATGAAGGACGCTCTAAACATGCTCAACCTGGATCCTTCCTGCGATTCTTCCTAGTTTGGGGTCGTTGGTTGCCACAAGTGGATGTGTGTCAAACTTAGGGCCCCGTTTGATGCTTGTTTTGAGTTACCCGCTCCCAGCTTTGGGCGATTTCTTTCAAGACACGTTTGGGTTTTGAGAATCAGGGGCCCAGATGGTTGGTTTCCTTTTGACTCAGGGACCTCCGGTTTCACCTCAAAACACAATCCATGAGACCCCACCTCGCAAGTTCCCGATGCGACCAAGGCTGGTGATGATGGGAGCGGCTTCCCCCAACTCTGCGCTGCGAGAGGCGGCTGCTCAGAGGCATGTGCACAGGGTCACTTTGGATTTCAAAGTCGTGGAATACTTGGGTTTGTAATGTATGCAGATATGCATTTGCTTCCTTCCTGTTGGATAGTGGCGGCAACATGTTTTTGAAGGAGCTGGCAATGCCACATGTTTTACGTTCAGTTCACTCCCGCAAATAGGTCGGTTTGGGACATTTAAGGTGGGCAGATTTGTGTTTGGCTTCGCTTTTTCTACGTCGAAGTGCCCAGAATCAGAGTAGTCTTGGCGCGGGTTTGTTGTTTGTCGTAATCGTAAGCCTTCCTGTCGGCTAAGATGCAAGGTGTGAGAGGGATGAGAGGGTAGCTAATTGAACTTGTGGACAAAGACAGCTGTGCTTGTCTGAGGCCAACACCGTGCGCGCATTGCTGTGAGCTACGCTTCGTGTACTATCTGATGTCTTGCTCGACTGGGAGCGCCGGGAGATCTCGCCAAAACTCATCCAGCATGCCCGGGTGAAACATGCGCCGCCCAGCACGGAACACGCCAGGCCCTGAAGGACACGCGTGCGATGTGGAGACTCCTACTTGCGCAATGTGGCAACTTGGAGCACTGGTTTGGGCGCATGGTTGCGCATTTTGTATCAGACGCCTACGGAGGACTTGGGTCAAGTGACGAGCCATGCGCGCGTGGGCCAAAATGTGCGGCGTGTTGCTGGCCTTGCCTGTGAAGCAGTCATTGGGTGAGCTGCGTCGCATTTGAAGCGCCCTCTCTGCTTATTGTTGCGTATACGGTATACGGAAACCAACAGGAAATCAACATTTGGGACGTGGCCTCAAGTCAAAGTCCTTTTGGCTAGGGATGCTGAATGCACGGTAGACTGACAGCTGTTTTGAGCCCGTGCTGAGGACGGCACCCTCACGCAGCTCTTTGCGTTCTTCGTGGAACGCTGCAGGGCTATGGCGCGGTCAGGGGTTGTCTCCACAAGTTGAGCCATGACCCCCCTCTCCAAACGCTTGTAGTTGTTGGCTGCTTGCCTTGCTCGCAATGCTCGCCTTGCTCGCGTTCTAGCTTTCCACTTGTGTAGCTGCTTGCGTGTTTGCCTGCGTACCTGCTTGCCTGCATGCGTGGGCGCCTGTGTGTGTTTGCCTACGTGTTGGCCTGCCTGCCTGGCTGAATTCAATGCTTGGTTGCTTGCTTGCTTGCTAGCTTGCTTGCTTGCTTGCTTGCTTGCTTGCTTGCTTGTTTGCTTTATGAGCCATGGCCACCTGAGAATCAGCAAACACGCTTCTAAGGACCGGCCGAGGCTTACAGCACAGTAGGGAGTTTGCGAAACGCTTGAGGCTTGCACTTGCAGTGCAGTGACAGCGCGAAGCCAAACCAAGCCCAGAAAACCCTGTCAAGGCTATTGCCAGCCTTGCTTGTCTTATCTCTTTGACACAACGTGTCTTTTTCTATGTACAGGCAGTGACAAGCTAAACAATGCAGGTCGGCTGCGTCGTGTGCTTCTCGCCCATCGGTGACAACTGGCGAACCCGTCTTCGGCAGTGGCTGGGACTCAAGCTTGATGTTTTTTTTTTTTTGTTTTTTTTTTTGCGTGTTTGTGTTTCTTTACGTTGTTCCTTCCGTCCCCCTCCAACAAGGGCGTTGTTGTCCAGGGCTCATTTCAAATCGATGGAATTTCCAGCAGCGTGCAGGTTCCCATCACTGGTCAACTGCTGCACCATCGACTGGTATACAGCCAGGACCACAGGGCAGCGATAGTAAGCAGAAGGCCCCAGACCCAAGCTGTGCGGGAGGAAGGCCTGTTCTTGGGGGTACCCTATTTTTGGTGGTTTCAAGGGAAACCAACCATTTTGGGGGATGCAGCAACCATGTTGTAAAGTGAACCCAACCATTCTTGAGGGATCCCATAAGCAAGAAGACCCTCTCTAAGACCCTCACTGCCTCTAGGCTCTAAGTCAAACAGACACACCCATGTATTTCTGTAATGACCCTCACTCGCTCTAAATGGTCATGGGTCAAAATCCCGTACCCCCAGTGAACATCCCAATCCCCACTAAAATAGACTAACGTGGGTGGTGCACCTACCCCAAAATGGGATCCCATTGGTTTTGACCCACAGCCAAATGTGCGATCCATCCCGAGTCAGAATTCAGGCCTGGCCCGCGGATGCGCTCATGGCAGTGGCCACCAAGTTCCTCTCCTCGATCCCGGACCTGGACGATGAGGCCGGAGTGATCCGTCAGACCGTTCGGTCGCAACCTTTGGTTGGAGTCCCATGGAAAACATGGATCATGGCTAAAAGACAATTGGAGGGAATTAGAGCCCTTACCACATGAGCAATGATTGGACAACTGCAATTAGAGGTTGACAATTAGGCAATTGGGTCATGGCTGGACTGGGACTGGAGTGGGCAATGCTCCTTCTCCGTTTCAAGAAGGCGATTTCATCTACAGCCGAAGCCATGTCCGGATCATCCAAGCAGCTGGCATCCAGTTGCTTTGGCGTGGGATTGATATTTTCGCTGGCGTATGCTGGAAAGAGACTGGCTCGCTGGGTGGTTTGGTTGTAGGTACGTAACTGAGAGGCATGCTGCAGGTTTGCACTGTATAATTTACATCCTAGGTGTGCGAGTTTGCGTTTGTGTGGTTACATTCCTAGACCGAAAGAGACCCGAGCACAGGCAAATCTGTTTGACCATTTGGTTCCTTAGGCGTTTTGAGTTAGTTCAGTGTCCATCCAACCCATGAAAAGTTGGACTTGCAGCCCGGGATCTGAGCCAATGGTGTTTGTGTTCCCTCACATGTAACCTAGGGGGCGAAGGTCCACTCGGTTCCGGAGACGCTCGGAGTCGGCAAAGAAACCGCTCGGAGTCCGCCAGGTCCGGCAGAATTGCGTGGAGATGTGCCAGTGCAGGTCTCAGCGCGCGTTGTGCGGAGTTTGTTTGGCGGAGGTTGTTTGTTTGTTTGTCTATTGTTGTTAATACTATTATTATTATTAGTAGTATTATTATTATTATTGTTCAATTATTATTATTGTTCAATTATTATTATTGTTTAATTATTATTATTGTTATTATTATTATTGTTCAATTATTATTATTGTTTAATTATTATTATTGTTTAATTATTATCATCATCATCATCATGTTGTTAGCTAGTTAGTTTGTTCGATCTTCCTCAGACTTCAAACTTGTTGGGATCATTTTGATGGGAAACAGCATTTTGTTCTGACCAATCCACTCAGGACGTGAGCAAATTGGGGATCCCGTTTGGAAAGCGGCACATGTCACTAGGGTCCCCTAAAGCAGAGCCCGGATTCAGTCCGCACGTGTCCATCCCTTGGAAAATGCACTTGAACAGTTTGATACCCTTTGATCGGTTTCTAGGCGGCATGTCTCTTGCCCCGTCTCGGCCTGCACATAATCCATTGATTGGACAGTCAGGGTTCCAAGATGATCTTCACTGACGTCTGGCCTTTTTCATGGGAACCTAAATCGGCATGCGAGAAGTTGCCGCTTCGCCTGAAGCTCTTCGAACCGGAAAGCGGAGTTGGAGTTGGGGGAGCCCAGGTTTTTCCATTCGGAGACCAAGAAGTTGGCAAAGCGCTTCGAGGACGAGTTGAAGCGCGTGGGCCTTGTTCCTGGCAGTCGGACTCGGAGACTCACGCCCAAGGTTTCGCGGTGAGCGACTCCGGGCGATGAGTGGACATACATGGCAAAATATTGCCTGTATGGGGTTTGTTGGTGTGGCTGATTCTGGATGGCAAAAACATGACATGAAACCCATCTGAACATGTGCAATTTGATAGGCGACAGCCCAAACTTGCCAGTTGCTTTTGACGCTTGTGCAGATGCCAGCCTAGGCATCTACTACTCAACGCCCACGTCCTTCTTGGAACTCATCCAGACGTTCAAGGACCGCTCGACGGTGAGCCCTGACCTTTGCATTACAGGCATGGGACATCCAGAATACTACGCCTAGTTGATGCACTTGGAAGTGGGTAGGGAGATGGACTTTCCGCAGCAACGGGGTCGGCGTTTTTGGAGGTGCCGCTCCTTTTCAACTAGTTTGGGTACGCGAAGCGCGGATGTTTCTCCACTTGCATGGGAAGTCCTCATGGGACACCCACAGATACAGGGCTCCTTAAAAGATACATTTTGCCCATTTGAAACATGTGTTTTTTCCACCAAAAGAAAGGGAAACCACCATTTAATTACAAGGCAATGTTCAGGTGTTGTCATGGAAGGATCACTGAGATAGAAGCCATGTTGCTGCGCAGTCTCTGCTTGGGGACAAGCGGGCCTCGATCAGCAGCCTGAAGTCCAAGTATGAGGCAAGTCGACGGTTGGCACAAGCACCGGTCATTCCAAGACGGGAATGGGAGGTTTCGACCATCGCTGGAACCTGTTGGTGCTATATACTCTCTTGCTGGTTTGGCTACTACTTTCGTGCTGCCTTGTGTTTGTGCTGGCAAACCGGCCTACTCAAAATCAACTCACACCAACGGAGAGCAGGGCGATGGTTCGTGTTAGATCTTCCTACCGGAACTATCGGCAAGACTGCAGATCGGCGGTTCTGTATCTGGCAAGCATCCAGAGGTCGCCCCATCGACTTTGCCAGGTGGGGCTGGAGAAGCTGACAACAACGGAACAGTCGGTGGAGGGTATGAAGCAGGAGATGTCGTATGTTGATGGTCGATCTTCGCCCGGTATCCAATTCGAATTGGTCTTTTCAAGTCATTTTAAATGCAAGAGGTTTTACAGTTGCTTGGTGGTGTTGGGCCTTTGTATATAATATGCACTAATTCTATCTAAGCTCACCTGTGTATAAACTAGCTAAACCTTGATGATGGCCCCTTAGTACTTAGATGGTCCTTGATGGTTGTCGGTGAAATACACAATGTTGTGCAGCTTGATTGTTCATGTACATATGTATCAGTGCATTTCAATTTGTGCTTGCATATTCCACGGCGATAAGATGCTTAAGTTCTTGAGATAAAATCCGATGACACATGCCTAGAAACAAAGCTACGAAACGGCGAAGGATCACTGACACGTCCTGCGCTTGAACCTTGCTCAGATAAAAACGCTGCCAATCTTGCAAGGAGCTTATCGCGCTGCAGCCAAAACTGGTGGAAAAAAACAAGGAGGCGTGGCACCGATGCTGAATCGAGGCTCTTTGAGACTGGTGCTTGGAAGGGTATTTATATATATATATATGTACAACACATGTGCAGCCCTGCCAAATAACTTTGCTCGTGGTTTGGTGGGAGCATTTGTAAGTCCCCCACTTGGCATGCCAAAGAAAGCGGTTCTTCTCATCGCGATCGCTGTTATTGTACTTGAGATGTCCCTCCCGGATAACGTAAACTTGCCAGTGGCTCAGGTCGGGGAGATGATGATTGTCGTGAACGAGGACAGTTTCTCTCAAGGCACCATGTAGGGAACGTCCAGCGACTCGAGTGCAGGAGAGCGCGAAGACGGAGAAAGTCAAGGAGGCCTGGGCCAAGTGTAACGAGCGCTACAGGGGCTAAGAAAACAATTGGGCTGACCGGCTGAACCATGGCACTGGTTCCAATCTGGTTCCAACCATTCACGATCTTGTCCTTTTGGGACACACGTGTTCAGAATTTATCCAAAAGGACGCCTGGGTGTGGCTCAAAGTTAAAGAGCTAGGGCAAGCTGAATGGATTCCATAAACCAAAATGGCATCAAAATGGTTTGGTTTTTGGAGCCACAGCTAGCTGTGTTGTGACTCCCATGTTCTCACTCCGCGAGTTCCTGGACTTTACACTTTTTGGGTTTGGACCATTTTAGCATCCACTCAGCAAGCGAGTGTTTGCAAATCGAAATGCCAAAATGGAAATGCCATTTTTTGAGCCACAGACACCTGAGTTGTGATTCCCAAGGTTTCAAACAAATCGTGACCTGCCAAACCAAACTGCAGGTGGTGGCGGCCGACGAGGCGGTGGCTTCCGAGGCAGCGGCCCAGTCCAATGCCATCAAGAAGGAGAGACGGGGGGAAGTCAACCCGGTTCCCAGTCCAATTCCTTAGGTTTTGAGTGGTGTGTTTTTGGTTGGTTGAGTGGAGTCAGTGGGTTTTTTGGTGTGTTTCTTTAGTTGGTTGAGTGGTTGGGTTTCCATTTGACCAAGAAACAAAAGGTTAAAAACTGCTAGCAGGGGATCTGAGGACAGCTCAGCTACAGTACATTTGCCAAGTACCCACCAAAAACAAGGGTAAACACTTGTAGATGGGAGCGTCTTTGTTTGAGGGTGCCCTTTTTTGGATCGGTTTAAACGGAAGCCGAAAAGCAGAACCACCATTTTGGGGTGTTCCCCTATTTTTAAGACGCGCTAACAGGTTGCTTAGGATGGGGGTTCACCCCCAAAAAATAGCAGATTCCATTGATGCAGTACACAATTCTCAGCTTTGAGAATCCGCAAGTGACCGACCAGATAATTTTCTAGAGGCTGATTCCCCATTCTTGTCAACCATCGTTCTTTTCAAAAAACGGCTGTTACCCATGCGTTTTTTATGGTTATCTGAAAAGGAGGATCCCTGGAAAGAATGGGGAAGCTACCCCTTCAAGTGTCAATTCTTAGCGAAGGGCTGGCGTGACGCGTCTCATTGAGCTGCCAGGAGTGCGAAGAAGCTTTGGCAGAAGCCATGCGAGGGCCCCGGAACATGGGGAGGCGCGCCAATGTCCATCAGCAGTTTTTTTCTGGCTGGCTAAACAGCCAGCCGCAAAGGATTCGGATATGGGTGTGTGCCTTTTGTGAGGGTAGGATTTTATGGATGGTTTTAAAAGGACACCACAAGGAAAACCACATGTTGGGAAGTCCCCTAAACGAAGAATACCTAATATTATTTTGAGGAATCTGGAGCCGCCCTGTGGCAGAGGATCAAGTCAGCCCACATCTGAGGCCTGCCTTGAACGAGGCGCTGAAAGCCCTGGACACGCTTTCCTCCAAGGAAATTGCGGAGGTCAAGGCCTGGTGAATTTGGTTCATTGCGCATTTGTACGGTCGCAAGCTGATAGCAGGTTCCTGGCGTAAAGACAGAAGCCTTGAAACAGGCATGAGTTATGGGGTCACATGCAGCCAGGGCGGCAAATTGCCAATTCCAGAAACTAGGTTCGAGCAAGGCATGTGACAGATACCGATCTCCGACAAGAGCAAGCCCTCTAGCTGTTCCCCTCACCTGCGGGCACTGGGCTACCAGCCAAGGACCAGCTTGTTTGACTAAGTTATGTTCTTCACTGAGTGGGGAAGAGGGACAATTTTGTAATGTGCCATAGTTCATACTAGATCTGCACCTGGCTAGCCATCTCGAGCATCGATCATTTCGGCTTGTCCAAAAGATAGAGAGAACAGATATATTAGCTTCCCTCAGGTTCCTTCAAGATCAATCCAACGGTACCTTGCGGCCACTTGAGCCTTTGAAGGCCATGAAGAACCCCGCGGCGCCAGTGCGCCTGGTGCTGTCGGCGGTGTGCGTACTGCGCAACGCCATTGGCCTCGGGGGTGAGAGGAAGCCAAAAGGCGGGCAACCATTCGCCAATCTCAAAGAGAGCCAGCCATTTTCGGGGGACAAAACCTAACAGGGACCCTGAAACTATCCTGTTTGCGCGTCAAAGGGTAGTATAATTCTGGTTGGGAGGTTGGTGAAAGAGTTCAAAGTATCTTTTCACAACGGCCCAGACATCATGATCAGTAGATGAAGCATGCTGCTAACCCTCGACAAGGGCCACATCAGATCAGTGGTTTGAACAGTTGTTTCAAAACCAAGGATGACTTCACGTGTGTCATTCCGCGACTTGATTGTGGCTTCGAATCGTCATGATTCCTTTCGAGCTCCACAGCGCTGATCTTGCCAAAGTCACGGGGCTCGCGCTTTCTCTGTTGCGGTTCGCAAAGCTCGGACGTTTGTTGACAGAACAATGGCAACCAGCATCGCTTGAGAATCGGCTCGGAGATTTCCTTGCAGTGGGTGTCAAAGCCCTGTGAAACTCCGTCGAATCAACATTTTGCCCCCCGAGGTCAAGCCTGTGCGAGTGAAGGATGACACGGGCAAAATGGTGTCGCCCTGAGCTTGCCAGTGACATGCAGCTTGGCTCGACCCCCCGGGCTTCAGATAAACGCGACTCGATGGATCGGAGGTGGACGACTTCTGGCCGGCGGCGGTGAAGATGATCTCGGAGATGGGCTTTCTTCCAGCTCTGCTCCTTGACAGCGAGACGCCAGCGACCACTTTGACAGTCATGGCAAACGATCTTGAACGTCAAAAATGCTTATCTACATCTACAATGCGAATCTACATCTACAGATGATCAGTTTTCGAAAAGTGCTACATACTTTCACTTTGCCAGCGCCGGATTGTTTGCTTTATTGTGTTTATGTCGGCCATAGCTGGTCAGCCTTATTGGGCCGGTGCGTTTTCATTTGAGAAGGACGGCTTGGTTTGCTCCAGGCAGGCGTTCGACAAGGACAACATCCCTCCCGCGACGCCGGCGAAATCTTGATCTCGAGCGGCTTGGGAAGCTGAGCTAGATGCTGCCGCATACATGTCCTGGGAGCTTCCCTGACCTGAGGGATCCCTAATGAACATTTGATGAGTAAACTTGATATGTGGCAATCTCCGTATTTTTCAGCTTTGGTCTTTGATGTTACTGTCTATTTTCTGTCGAGCATTGCTTTAGGTCACAGTTTCCTTCGCGAATTCGCGCTATTTGGGAGCTCCTAAGCAACTATGTCATGGATGCGTGGGGTTTCTTGATTGTCTCTCTTGATTTTTTTCTGGAGGACAACATGCAAGGCGGCATTTTGAACCATGCGCAAATCCAGAGGATGTTATATCGTTGGCTTCTTGAAGGAGGGCAATCCAGTTGAGCATGTTGCCCCTGCGCATGGGTCTCGCCAGGCAACCATCAAGAAGATCTCGGAGTACACGGTGAAGGAAGACTTCCAGCCAGATCGAGTTGGGGCCTCAGGTGGCAAAGATCAGGGACGAAATTAGGCAGCGTGGTTCACTTACCAATGATTTGCAGGCATGATGCAAGTTCTAATGTACAGAGGTGGCGACATTTATGTTCAGAAACAGCCTCCGTTGGTGAAGCTTGCAGTCGGCCTAAGGCCAAGCGTTGCTTGCTGCAAGAGGTCTACATGTTTGATGCTGCCTTGCCGTGTGACTTGCACGACTTGAGGTTCAGAAAGTGTCCACTGCTGCCTGGGGTGAGCCAAGCCATGTTTTATGACAGCAACCAGTCGTCCATGGACGAAAGCGCACAGGGCATCTGCAACCGCACGGTGTGCGGGACTGCTCAATTTTCAGCCACTCCACCTGAAGGCATGCCGCAACCCCAAGCCGTTTGACCAATAATTCAACCGAGGGGGAGACACATTTTACCTCATGTTGCCTCCCCGCTCCATTTTTGGGGGTTCCTCTGGAAGCAAAGATGACCCCAACCATTTGGGGGGGGGCGGGGGCGGGGGCGTTTGGCGCTCTCATGCCAGGCCTCTGCATGTGGGTGCGAGCCATGGAGACTTACGACCGCGTGGCCAAGGCGTGGCACGGGTCACGGTGTCACCGGTGACCTCGGCTGGAGACATGTTGCGACCCCCATGCGCAAGCTGCTCAAAGCTCTCGGCTTACAGGTTTGTTGCAGCGTTGAGTGGCGTTTTTGTTGAGACCATGTTTTGAGCAGCTGAGCTGCTTTAAGCTATCGGCAACCATGAACAGCTGCTCTTGCCACTTTTCTTTGGGCCTCCCCTTTCTCTCCCCTCTCCCCTCTCCCCTCTCCCCGCTCCCCGCTCCCCTCTCCCCTCCCCCCCCTCCCCTCTCCCCTCCCTCCTTGTGCTCTGGTCATTTGCAGTTCAAGCCAATGGCGTTGCTGTTCACTATGCATTGGGCCAACATCCAGCTTTTGGATGTTAATGCAAGCAACTGTGCTAGTATTGCCAAGTGTCCAACGAGCATTTGGGTGGGCCGATGGCAGGAGTGACGCCAACCCCAAAACTCAAGAGGACAAGTTGTGAGCATCACAACCGTCACTGTCTTGGCGCTTTGGTTTGCTCGTTGCATTGTTTGCGGGCACCTGATTGGATTCCGCTCCTTTGCTTCCCTGCCAGGTGGTGGCTCCCAAGAAGGAGAAACTGGCAGAGGCTGAAGCCGAGTACAACGGCATGATGGATCAGCTCAATGCCAAACGCCCGGGTCCCAGGGTCCCCAGCATCCCCAGAATCCCCGGACTCGCGGAATGCTCCGAGTCGTTTGGCTTTGCCCCAAGCACCAGGAGTTTTCGCAACCAAAGCTGGCAGCTAGCCATGGGACGATTTGGTTTCGGAGAGGTGCGGAGTTGAAGAAAGTGGTGGACGAGCTGACTGCCTTGAACAACAAGCTGGCCGCCCTGAGGCGGAACAGGGGGTTCGGGCGCGCAAATTGATCTGAGCTGAAGGCACATGTCAAAGCCATGAAATGCTGAGCTGAGACACCATACCCTGGATCGGATGGGCTTCAAAGGCATACTAGCCATATTGGAAAGCATTGGTGGTTTCAGAGGAATCATGTCTCCCGAAAAAGGAAGACCCCCATGCCATACCGTTGCCTTTTTATTGTATAGTTAAACAAGCGGAGGTGTTCATTTTGACTCTCACCAGCAAAACTAAATGATACTCTGAGGACGCATATTGTTGGACGCCCTTTTTTGGAAGGAACCCCTTTCGTCTCCACAAGTCCTGTTGTGTCGTTTTCGGCACAGGCAGGAGCAGGACAATCTCACAGTAGAGGTGGATCTCTGTCAGAAGAAGCTGGAGCGTGCCGGCCCCCTGGTGACATGAGCTTCACCTGCAAAATGCCCACGGGGAGTTCTTTGCAAAAAGTGAAGCGCCCCTCACGAAATAGCGCACCCTGGGACCCTGGCTACGAATGAATCTGGGACCCTGGGTTCCAAATGCATGCTGAGAGAAGCATAAGTTCTCCACATTGATTTGAGATGTCATCTCAAATCTAAATGCGTACATTTGCATTATATGGATGAAGGGTTTTAACTGCAGGGTCTCTGACAACACGCCGGTGCAACACAGGCTTCATCGACAGCTTGCTTGCTAACGCTGCCTGCTGTTTATGTGTGCTTCGAAACAAGGCTAGAATCCCGATTGCCTATCCCGGTTGCCTCGCATGGTGAGATCGCCAGCAGGTGACTCGACGACCGCTGAATCTTTGCAAAGCATTGCCGGAGTGAGGCTGAGACACTCATCACCTCCTTGGGCGGGGAGAAGACACGCTGGACCCAGAACGCCAGGGATTTGGCCGCCTGGGTCTCAGGCTTTGTGGTTGTGGCTCAAAAAATGGAACCTAGAATGCCACCTTGGTATATGGAAACAAAAGCTAAAATCTGCATAACCCCAGCTGTTTCTTTTTGAGGCGCAACCATGTGTTTGCAGCAACGCAGATGCACCTCCGCCGGTCGAAAACGGTCTAATTCCGTGCGGCTGGTCGGAGATGCTGCGACTTTGACCGCACTCTCAGGATGACTACGTGAACCTCACCGGCGATGCCGAGCCTTCATGTTGGGCAGCACCGCGCATGCCATGTCAGGTCGTTATAAAATGCAACAACAAAAAAATGTGCCCTCCCACCAAGTAACATATGGAAGTGCAAAAAGGCTCTTTCCAAGAGGAAAGTAGTCTTTCTTACGGGGTTTGTGCACATGTTGGCTGGTGGGAGGGTAAAGCATGTCGGTGAAGGACTGGACAAGCTTTTTGAACATATTGTGCTCCTGGGTGGAAGCATTAGACCCGCGAAAGGACGGCGGAAAGCCGGCGATTGGGTGACTTCCTGAACTTTGAGTCCAACAATTCAAACACGCCAACCACTATGGAAGCTGGCAGCAGGATTTTTGGATGAACCCGGGTCGGCCAGCTGCTTCAGCTGATTTCCACTTACGACGCACAACCCCCTTGGCAGAGTTGAGTTGGCATTCGGAGAGCGAAGCGTCCCCAGCGCGTGTGGTTTTGATATAAAACCTTTTTTTTTTATACACTGCTTTTTTAGTGGGATACAACCCAGGTGTGGTAACCACCAAATTTGGCCGAACACCCAAGTGCTGTCATCTCAAAAAAGGCCCCTCGTCTACTTCCACAACTGTTGGAGAGCGGGCACATTCTGCGAAGAAATGAGCAAGATGAGCTCCTGATTGGGGGTGATTCTCCGGGTTGCCACCTACTTTCACTTGGAACAAACGGGCCATCTGAAATTAGTTGGCCATGAGTCAAAATCCCGTATTTTTAGTGAATATCTTAATCCCTCTTAAAATAGATTACAATGGGTGGTGCGCCTACCCCAAAATGGGATCCCATTGCTTTTGACCCGCAGCCAGTTCTTTATACGTGAGCTGTATGGCTTTGATACTGGGCGCAGCCAGGTGATCGTGGCCAGTGGGCTGATTGCCTATCTGGGGGCTTTCACCCCAGACTTCCGCGAGAGCGCCGTGAAGCCTGGCTCCTAGACTTGGGCTGTTCTAAGGTTTGATTCCCCATTCTCTTCACCCATCGTTCTCTGTAGACACCAGGTGGTTGGCCTGTTTTTGGAAGAGAAGCATCCCTGAAGAGAATGGGGAGGGAGGAGCTAGAAGAGTTGGGCCTGCGGCAAAGAGGAATTCGACTTGCCGCTGCTTAACATGTGTAGTTCTGTTCTGCTTGATTGTTCTGTGAACATAACCCGAGTGAGCCAGACTGACTTCCGCTCTCATGACAAAGTGTTGCAGACATGCTTATTTTGGCGGTCATGGCATGTTAAGTTTATGTTTGCCACAGAACAACTCGTGTAATATCCCCAAGCGAGATAGTACATCCAACTAGTGATTGGATCTTTATGCCAATGTCGGCAACATATAGCCATGAGGTTGTCAAGTCCGAATGAAATCTCTTTGACCATGCCAGTATTGCGAAGAATGGGGTTGGCTTTGCTCGGAATGACAGTCTTAGACACTGCAAAGCCATTGCTGAATGGAGTGGTTCAAAGACAATCATGTTGCATGAGTCCAATTGTCGTTGTAGCCGCTTCAACCATGTATTTCCTTCATCAGTTTCTTATCTGGTATTGCACCAACTGGTGCACGTTCTTGCACCAAGTTCTTGGCATTTTCTTGGCTTTTGGGTGTGGCTCAAAATTAAAGAGTCGGGGTTCTCCAGGTTTGGGGCCATGTTGGGTCCCCTTCTTTGAGCCACCGCCGTTTGAGCCTGGTGAGGTCGTGGGCGGAGGAGAGCCTTCAGCGCCAGATCCCGGGCTCCGAGAAGTTCTTCCTGGAGAAATGCCTCGGGGAGCCGGTGAAGGCACCGCCTGCATCCGGACACGTTCGCTTTGAATCGGAGACATCGGGTGGGGTCCGTCTTGCCTCTGGCTCACGTGGAGCAGCCGGTCAACTATGCAGGTGCTGAGTTGGAAGATTCAGGATATGAAGAAGAATGAGAGGGATGATAGTGTTGAGCGTTCAGTAGGTCCGTGCCTGGGTGGTGGCCGGGTTGCCGAATGACTCCTTCAGCATAGAGAATGGCATCATCATGGACAAGGCAGGACGGGAGCCGCCCGCAAAACGCGTATCATAGGACGTGTTGTGTTGCATGCGCGTGCATGGATAGATTCGTCGTTTCACAGGTGGTGCAAACAATTCCTGCAAGTGAACATGCCTCACGGAAGCAACGCAATGAGGACACCCCTCAAGACGCACAACTACGGATACATAGATAGACAGATACATGTAAACATGTATCGGCACGCACCTATCCACCCAGGCACGCACGCACGCATGCTAGCGCACAACAAGTCCAATACCGGGGGTTGAGCACGGTGTAAACATGGCATGGCACACACACACACACCAATCCCATATATAATGTGCCCAAAGAAGAGTCTTCCAACGCCTTGCTTGGGTGAACGCTTGGCAACATCTTACATGTTTGCCCACTTAAAGTGACAGCCCAGGAATCGGTATCTTAGGTTGGGGTTGAACCTTCTTTTTGTTCCCGTCTTCCATTGAAAAGAGGGTAGCACAGACTCTGGCGAAACGGTAGAGCTGCTTGTTCCGTTTACGCGTCTTGTGTTTTGTTGGCAACCCCCAAAAACCAAGACTGCTTGGTTTATCTTTGACCGTGAGTGTTTGATTTGAAGGCAGGTTGGGAGTGCGCAGCACCTGCATAGGAGTTGCCTCTTATCCGGGTAAGTTTGGGAGAGTCAGTTGTGCACTGCTCGGCTTCGCAAACAAATGCACGGACCACGGCACACAAATTACAGATGCGCACAGAATGAACACAAGGAAGAGAACGGGAGAGGCAGTCGCAAATGCATTGCAGACTCAAGCACACACACACACACACACACGGGACCATGTTACTATCACTACCTGCAGAAGCTCTCTGTTGTTTCAGTTTGAACTCTTTGGACATTAGATGTCAAGTCCACTCATTGAGGCGGACTTCTGCAGGTCCTGCAGGGTTTCCAGCCAACGGCCAGCCCGAATGGAGACCCGATATAGTCTCAATGCCCAGTTGCAAGGAAGGTTCGTGCAGATCCGGGAGGCATGTTGCGTAGACATGACCCATGTGTCAGATGCTGAAAAGCTACAAAGTTCGTTGCTCCGCCAGGATTTGGTCCAGCTTTTGCTTGGTGGACCGCTTGGTTTCCAATGCGAAAGCAGGTGGAACATACTTCCACAAATTCGCCTCATGAAAAGGAGAGCCGATTGGTTTCCCAATACAAAGAATATATTTGCTTTTATTGCGATGCACCGTGCAGGCACGGCGGTGAGGTGCTTAGCAAAAGTGAGCGTGAGATGGAAGCTTTGCAACGCCCATGGGCATTCTAAGATCGGTCGGTTGGAAAGTCAAGTTTGACCAGGGGATTGATGGGCAACTCTTGGAGGTTTCGAACCAGTTCAATCACAATGTACCGCCTGCTTGCTCTGAGGTGGCCCTTGTGCATCGACCCGCAGGGGCAAGCAAACCGTTGGATCAAGAAGCGTGCCTGCCATGTGCTTGAGGTGTGCGCCCATGTGAAACCTGTGGTCGACACGGTTGAACTCTCCAAAACGACATCATCCAATGTAGGTTGGATGTAGATGGCCATTCACCTCATCTTCACAAAAGTCCTCATCTTCACAAAGTACCCCTGAATCATAGATTTCTGCCCACCCAAAGTTCCATCCAAGACGAGTTGGCTTTTGCTTGCGCCAGGATGTGCCAGCCGCTTCAGATCGTCGTGGCCAAATTCACCGACTCAGACTACTTGAAGCGCTTGGAAGGCCAACGGGAGGTAAAATCAAGGGCGTGGCTGGGGAAGCCCAAATGGAGGGTATCATTTTTGGTGTCTCAAAGCGGGCCCCGAAAAGAGTACAAACGAAAAAGCCATTGGGCTGGAAGGACCCCGAGTCTTGACAAGTCAGTTGTGGTTCTTGGAAAGATAAAGGATAAACTCATCTGTAGTTGTATCATTTCGCCTGGATCAGAACTCGTGGTGCAGGTTGCATTCAGTTTGGCAACCCCATGCTGATCGAAAACATGCTGGAGGACCGTGGTTTCTCGTGCTCCGTGAGCCTTCAGTCCAGTCAGCTTTTTTGTTGTTTGAGGACACGGGACAACCCATTTGTTCATAACCGGGGGACAACCTTTTTGACCATGTCCTCTTTGGGGAAACAAGTAGATCTTAGTATTCTGCGCATCATTCATCATTGTGATGAGGCTACTGCTTGTTGCCGCCACTAAGAAGAGTTGTCCAGCCCAAAGCATCGAACATACTCTGCAGCGGTATCATTGTACGGGTTCGCCAACAGTCGGAGGGCAGACATGGACCTGCCCCGACGAGCTTTTAGTGCCTGACCTTCTGAGTGTTCTGAGATCAGAAGCCCTGGACAACTTGACAATTCCAGAAATTGATGGATGCTCACAAATGATTGACAGATCTTTGTTTGATCGTCCAAAAGTGGGTCCCATTTGTTGAAAAGGTGTATTTTTGAGGGCCCATCGGTCGTTGGGCAGACGTCTCATTGCCCCCTAGCTACTCTGAGCTGCGCTTTCAATCTTCCAAAAACAGATGATACTTTGTCCGTGCCTTGCAAGACGGTGTCTACTGGCCCCATTATTTCACCACTATCAAAGTCACCCCCTAGGTGATAGGTTAAAGGGAAACACTCCCGGTTTCTGACTTTGATAGCCCCCAAAAACAGTCAAAACAATGATCCCAGGTCTACCCATACTTGATTTGCTTTGGCAATTTCTTCATGAGAGCTGCCAAGTGCAGCCGAGGCTTTTGCCGTGAATCGATCCTGTTCCATTCAGAGGGCATTTCCACTTCCCCGAGTGGGGGCAGTGGGGGAGTTCCTGAAGTGGGTGTGTTTTTTCTTGTGGGTACACCGGTACCCCTTTTTGGTGGTTGAAATGGAAATCAGAATGAAAAGGAACACCACATGTTACTGTATTTTTTCAAAAATAGGTTTTCTTTAGGGGGTCCCATAAAACAGGACACACCCAAGTTACACAGTGTTTTGGGTGGGTCGGGTGGGTTTCTTTTGAATAGGACACAGACCCGGCGGTGGAGCCCGTTTTGCTGCGGCAGACCTTCAAAAAGGGCAGCGCGTGTCCTGGAAGCAATGGGCGGGGCTGAGGGGGAAGCCATGTTCGTTTTGGGGCTGTTTGGGTGGGACGTGGGGTGACGATTTTTCGTTTTTTCCACAAACACGCCGGGGGGGGGGACGGGTTGTCAGGGGGTGGAGAGGGGGCGGCTTAGGGACCCTTTTGGGTGTCCTGTGTAATGGCGGCACAAGGCGTCACTAGCTCCAAGGAGCCATACTTGGGACAACCCCCTACCAAACAAATCGAAATAATAATAATAATAATAATAATAATAATAATAATAATAATAACAATAATGATAATAATAATAATGTAAATAATAAACACATATTAATGTAATGGCACTGGCTCAGATAAACTCCAGAACTGCCCGGCCGTTTGCCAGAGATAGATTTCGTGCTGAGGGTCATGATCCGCCTGGGCGAGGCCGGCGGACGAGCGGACGATGGGCGGTTCTTTGGGGGTTTTCGGTGTGTTTGGTGGGCGGTTTTCGGGCGACGTTGGGCTGTCTCTCGTGTTCAGCTGTTGGAATGGAAGGATACGGAATTTATGTGGGAGAAACCCGGAGGATTCTGCTTTCCTTCTGCCATTGCACTGCTTTCTTGTGTGCCGTGTCAGTCCACCATCGAGTGGGCGAAGAACTTCAAGTTCTACCTCACCACCAAGTTACGGAACCCGCACTACCTGCCAGAGGCTGGGAGGGCAATCCGCATTGGTCCCTTCGTGTTAGTATTCCCCTGTGCTTAGCTTGTTTCGTTGAGAAGGGTCTGAATCATCTTGAGAGAGACTCATCCTTCACACTATACCATCTACATCCATCTAGCGTATTGAAGGATTCACAGGTCCTCCCTGAGACTAATTTCGGCCCCCGAGTTGATTTGTTGAACGAACTCGGCGAACGTGTTTTGGCGCATGGCAGGTGGCAGTGAAAGTCACGTTGCTGAACTTCATGATTACACAGGCAGGGCCAACATGCGCTTTGGTGACGATTCCTCTGGATAAACTAGATCGATCTGTGTCGAAGTAGGGGGACCTCCACAATCATGGTGTTCCTCTTCGTTTCACTTTAGACCAACCTGAAAAGGGCGCCTGAAAAAACACACCCATATGCGGTTCCATGGGGAATGAGCAGTTCAGAACGTTTCCATGTGGCAGGCCCCGCCTGGACATGTCAGTCGTTGGATTGTTGGTCTTTGCCCATTCCGTTGGCAGGTGACAACAGGAGTGTTACGCTGACCCTGAAAGCTGTACAACATTTCCATTCGTTTGTGCAGAGTCTTTCCAGGCCACGATTCTCTTGACTTGTGGCAGCAAAGCTGTGCAGGCAAAGTTCCATTTTTTTACAACCCCAAAGTGGAGTCAATCTCAGGGGTGGTTGACTTCCCAAGGGAAGCCGATTCCTGGGTTGAGTTCTACCTTGGGGTTGTCAAAAACAGAAGATTCTGTGCACTTCTTTGGGTGTGGTAGCATGGGCTTGGGGTGTGCCCCCCAAACATCGAACACGTCGATCCACACGAGGTGGGCCTTCAAGATCAGCTGCTGAACATCGTCGTGGAGAAGGCCCCGCGAGCGACCGATGGGGTTTCGACCGAATGGCTGGCCACCCGAGGATGGAAGGATTCATATGGGGGTTGATATCAAAAGGTCCGGTAAACATGGGATGACTGGCCGAGAAACCACCAAAAGGATGATATTTCCATGGGAAAAGTTAGGAATATTGATCAACTGAAACCCCATCAATTGAATTGGGCCAGCAACCATGGCTGGGCTGTTCAAATGTAATCCGAAGATCCTACCTTGCATTACGCAAGGATTGGTCCCCTTTGTAGTGGCTAGCCCAGCAAGGATTCACATGCAACACGTCCCCTCGCAGATTTGAATCGCGGCGCGCTATCCTGTGTTTGCATTTGTGGGCTGATGTGTAAGTCTTCCCGCAGCACAAAACAGTTCGTCATGAGCTAACCCTTGAGTTGCTGATCGGAGGTTGAGATGTGATCAAGAGTGTCCAACCAGTGGCAACATGCGGGATTGGGCTGACACCAACCAGTGGGAAGTAGGTTCCACCTTCCAGTTCAGGCAACACCCAGCCTCGGGGGGCTGGTAATCTGAGCCAGTAACCACCAGCTTGGCTTGGAACAGAGAGCTCCAGGCGAGGTCATTTGGATCAACGGTGGACGTATCTGAAGTCACTCTAGGCCCTTCATGCTTGACATTCCGAATGGAGGTTGATAACTCTGGGTGGATTGAAAGTCCTTTATCTGACAGTGACAGTCGATCAAATTGGAAACACGAGCCAAAAGCTGGGTAAGTGGGATTAGTAAGAATTCGTTCCCGACCACAAATAGAGGCGGCTGCTCCTTACATAGTGGTGAAACGGTGATTCCCTGAAATTGTACAGACATATCAAGGAACGCTTTTCTAAGTTGGGTTGGTTTGCGTATGACTTACAACATTCAAGGACCAACCAAGCTTTACCCTCCATCCAATCATGGAAGCTGCGGATCGGGTTTTCGCAGAAAGTGTTGTTTGGTTTTTGCTTTTAGGAACGGAACCCACGTCCATTGGAAAGAGAGTCGTCTCCTATGGAAGATATGGAAGCCACCAACCAACCCTGGGACCCGGTCCGCAGGAGCGGCCTGACTTGGCCGAGGAGAAGGCAAGGTTGGTGGTGGAAGGCCGGGACGGGAGCTCGGAGCTCGGAGCTCGGAGCTCGGGGGCCTTGGACGTCTTTGAAGAACCCCAAAATGCATCCCCCGCCACACACACACAAAAAAAACAACGCAAAAAAGAAGGAGCTTTTTGGAGACGCTTCAAGGAGGCCGCAAAGCGGACGAAATTGAAATGTCCCCTTGAGTGTACTTTGGGGCTTGCTCAAAGATTGGAACCTTGGCCTTCTCTCTCTGGAGAAAGCGCCGTAGTTGAATGTGGCTGGGCCCAACAACTTGATGTCGTTTGGCAGTTGGGCCCCTGTTGCCGGGAAATGGTTTCTTCCAGAAAAGACGCTGAAGCAGGAAGAACCCCAAGGTCCCGCATAGGGAAGCTGGTCGAAGGGTTTGGGAGACCAGCGTGCTTGGGATGTCCTGTTGCCAGCTGAAAAAACTTGATTTCTGAATGGTCCAACTGCCAGGTGCTGAGAACAAAGAGCAGCTAGAGTTGACGGAGAACAAGATCCTGGATGCTCCTTGGCACAGGATTTGGTTCGTGCTTGGCACTCGTGCCACCAAATCTGTGTGTCAGTCTTGAAGTCGCTCATCAAGCAAATAATCACTATACAGTGTATCATGAAATGCGTTTAAACGGCTGGCAAAGACCAGGATACCCAGAGTCTGTTGCTCATGCCTGTCTCCTTTATCAACATGCCATGGTCCAGGTCTTGCCATGCGCCCTTTCTGGACAAAACGGGGGGGGGGTTGAACATCCCAGCGTACGTACTGAGGTTCTGAGCTCGTCTCAGGGCAACATCCTTGAGGATGAAACGGCGGTGCAGGCGAGAAGTGGCGGAAGAGACTGAAACCTTAGGGTTATATAGGTCTAGATTGGGGTTAAAAAAAGAAGTGGAACCTCGGCCGAGGCTGCTTTTTGGACGTTTTTGGTTCCTATCAACCGACTGCCTACCCAATGAACCATGTCTGTGAGGAAGAGCTAGCATGTCACAGATGTCGGCATGCCTTTCGTTGCCCTGGTTGCCAAGCAGCTGTATATCCGCCTATCCAGTGAGGCTCCACAATGTGCAAAGGTTGCTGGCGTTTGAAACCTGTCACTATGGTTAATTTGTTTCGGTTTGAATTTCTGCGTTTATTATCCTGTCCGTTGTATGTAGCAGCCGACCCCAAACGTACTTTTTTGCTGGCCTGCAAACAGTGCCGCGCCATGCTTGCCAGCAGAGGCCAAATGACCTTTTCAATCGTCCCATCATGTTCCACAGCGTCCGAAAGCCAGCCACTCGAGTTTCTCCCCAAATGGGGGACTCCAAATGGGGTGGTTCTCATGCCCCAGGTGCTCTCCGCATCTAAGCAGCTGTCGAACGAGATTGCGCGCGGCCCAGACCCAGGGTTGGCATGTTTGGACTACCCCAGGTGTCCCTTTGGTTGTTTGGTGGAGAACAGCTGGCGACTCCTGGTTGACCTGGTGGTTTCAGAATCTAGGGCCGTCTATTTTCCCAAAATGACACCTCTTCCGAACTTCCTATTGCGTTCCCCACTCAAGCTGGCCAAGGCCCGTGCGTTCGATAGGCCCTGGGCCTTGAGGAAAGTTCTTAATTGCTTAGCCACGCAGTTATCTCCCAGGGGGCACCAAGTGGCCTATCACAACTTGACGTGGTTGAGCTAGAGGGGGCTGTTCTAACCTCATGATCCTTTCGGAAAAATAATGGTGAAAAAGCATGATGTCTTGCTGTTTGAATAGGGATGCGTAGCCCATGTTTTAGCCAATATTTGCCTTTGGCCTTTAGTAGCAAGCTGTGCTCACTTTTGGAATCTAAAACAAAACAAAAAACGAATCATTCGGAGGTGCCCGAACCAGAGATCGGCCCCCCTTCAGCAGCAGCAGAACATGTTGGGAAAAGAGGAGCATGTGCAGCGACCTGTCACTGGAGCTTTTGATACGGTTAGTTGTAGCCTATTCGTAGATTCTGTCGGACATTGTCGGCTCATCAAGGTTCCCTACAAAAAGCAAGGATGTTCTCCTTCTTGGTTAGGTTCTTGTCTGTCTGACTTTGTCCCCGTTGACTGACATTTGCCGCTCATTCTTGTGGGCTGGGTGCTTTCTGCATGCTTGGTGACCTCTAGACACCGGCGACAAAAGCGTACCTGCTGAATGCGTATCGTGATTGGTGCCAATCCTTGTGAAGGAGACTGGCCATGGCCCACATAGATGTTTGACCATGGGGGAGGTGCTCGTTTCTTGGAGCCGGCATCTTCTGTTTGAACTTGCATCAAAGGCATTAAAGAAAAAAACGTAAGATAAAAGAAGCAAAGACAACTTTGACACCCAATGGTTGTTTCTAAAAGGTCGCTTCCCCAATAAGCCAACAAGTTTAGTTTGGTGTTCAAAACCAACCTCAAGTTGTTGCGTTTTTTTTTGTACATGGTGGTTTAGCTTGCTGGTGCTCACTAGGGGATGTGGGAATGAACCCAGGGGTCCCCTTAAAAGAAACCACAAGGGATGATTTATAGGGGTCATTCCCTCATCCCCTGCCTATCGCACCAGCTAGTTTAAAGGGTGGCTTGACTCCTGCGACTCGGGGCCTCCAAAACCGTCCGGTCCGAGGCCCAGAAGCAGCAGACGGCGGAGACCATGGAGCAGCAGATCGACCAAGCGCGGCTGCAGTATGTCCCAGTGGCGTGCGGCTGGCCCGTTAGATTTCCTTCCCGAACGGTCGTTAAAAGGAAATTCACGGTTTCCAACAGGTCACATGGGTGTTGTTTTTGTTGAGGGTACTCTTTTTGGGGTGGTTGCACAGGGAACGAAAAGGAAACCCACCAATGTTGAGGGCGTGGATTTCCCTAGGTGGTTTCAGACATCGTCTTTTCGGCCCGTTTAAGTCGAGTTGCCCTAGGGGTGATGATTTTGGAGCCCCGTTCAGTCGTCGCGCAACTGTTTTGGGATCACGATTTGCTAGAAAGAGCCCTGAATCTTGGTTCTTGGTCCCGGAGCTGAGCGCAAACGGGACGGGGAGTCCTGAATTCTCCCTTTGGATTTGTTCGGTGGGAAGAAAGCTTGTCAAGAAGGGGAGCGTCTAAGGAAACACCGAACTGGCAGCCTTCTGGATGGTCTTCGAAGGACGCCAAAAGCATAAACCGTTTGGAGGGGGTTGATTTTGGAACCTTTCCAGATGCAAGTGGTTCAGAATTTGGCTGGCAGAATTGAAACATTCTGGGCCAGGCCCTTGGCAAGTAAGAGCATGGCAAACGAAGCGGCCCGTTAGCTTGCAGCATCAATGAATACTTACAACTTGTGTTGAAATGCTTAAGGAATCGGCATCTTCAAACATGCCCCCTGGCGACCTCCTAACAACTAGGCAAAACCGTGCAGAGGCGCGTGCATCTTAAGGCCCCGTCAACAAAACTAGGTCCCCCAGTAGTGCCCTTTTTCCAGCTTGTTTGGGGGAGGGTTCCCCTACTAAAATAGACTACAGAAAAAAGGGTACCCTGATTCTAACCTCTCTACTGGAGGACCTAGAAAAAGACATGCTCTTGGGGAACCGCCAGTGGTGTTGTTTTGTGCAAGTTCTGACGCGTGGCCCATGCACGCCTAGCTGCATCCAGCGCAGTTGTCCGGTCGTTTCGTGATTGACACGGCTCCTGCATGGGCGTTCGGCGTAGAGGAGGTGGCAGGGGAGACAGCCCCCAGGTCAGCATCCTGAGATTTCTTGGACATTTAAGTCTGCATAGATGCCACATGCGTCGACATTCAACGTATCGTGACTGCCATTTACGTTGAGGTTATCAGTTTAACCTCCACTAAATGCAAAGTAGTTTAGTGTGCGGATAGAGCAACAAATAAGTCGTTCAAGAGATGCCACAGGCGGAGTACCAACAGAGCTGTCCCGCTTGCTCTGACCAAGTGAGATGCCATCCTGCCAGGGCCCAGACAGCCATCCTCTTCTTCTGCATTGCTGATTTGGCCAACATTGTCTGCTCCTGACCATGCTGAATAGAGGGTCAGGCTGCAGGGCTGCCTTGTTTCATGGCTCCTGACTCAGGACCCGATGTACCAGTACTCGCTGCCCTTCTTCATCAACTTGTTCAAAGCTGCAATCACAAAGTCGGACAAGTCTGATGACATTGCGCGGAGCTTACCTGTTTTGATTGCTTGTGTCACATGCTGAAGCACATTTCTTTCTGCTCTTGTCTTTAACACTTGGGCCGCTGTGCGTATTTGAGCCCCCTCCTAGAAGCAGCCCAGCATCTGACGTTCTGGGGAAAAGAACAACAGCTGTGACAAGGGAATCCCACCGCAAGCAAATGTTTGCCAGCCAAGCAAACACTGTGTGCCCTTGTTAGAGCACAATGTTCGAAGTTCGGCCTGATCGCTTCTGCAAAGTTCCGTGCAGGAACGACGAATCGAGATCCTGAACGATTTCTTCATGGAGCGAACTGTTTCGAGCAGCAAGCACTGTATTTGCTAATATGGAAAATAGCCATGTACCTATTTGCATGATCTAGGACCCATGGGATTTGCACCTTGGTCCAGGCACAGCCATCTCAACGAATGTTGAAATGACCCCATTTGTCAAGAAGTTCCGTCAAGCTGTACAGCGCATGCCATCCTTCGTTTGTCAGGCTAGTTTTTCCCACTTGCAGCCCATCATGGCCAAGCCTGCTGCACATTTATCCGACAACAAACGCAGGGTGTTCTCATGTTTTCTCAATTGAGCGATGATGCCGCAGTTGTGAGTGATCTAAACACCTAACTAATGTTCGTCCACATGGAAGATGGCAAGATGTATTGTTTTCCTGGGCAATGCGCCGTGTGTTGAAAGCCAAGTTGCAGGAGATGCTGTACAAGAACATCTGCCGCTCGCTCTTTGAGAAGCACAAGTTGCTGTTCTCATTCCTGCTCACGATGCGCTTGCGTATCACCACTGGCAAGGCCATCTCCGAAATCGCAGTACATGTATAGTTTGAAAGCGTTATGAGTATTTATTGCGCTGGATGCTGAGGATATGTCATGTCAGGCTTGCTTATGTTATCGTTCTATTTGCTCATCGTTCCAAAAGACGGCGCTTGTTGCAGGTGTCTATGTCTGACTACCGCTTCCTCTTGACAGGAGGCACTGCGATGGAGGAGGGGAAACGTCACAGAGGAAAGATAGGAAAGTCATATGTCAAGTTGCTTGCTGTGCCTGACTCGATCCAGCAAATCCATGCAAAGGCCCTACCTCTAAGATTGCTTTGATTGTCCACTCTCGCACGCTTCCACTCCCCAAGTTTTGAATAGTAGAAGCAGTAGCAGCAGCAGTAGTAGTAGGAGGAGCATGAGATGAGTACGAGGAAAAGGACGCAGTTTCAATCAGACGACCCTCAAAGTGGTGGTTGTCCCTTGGTGGTTGTCCCTTGGGTGTCCCCTCAAAACCAATCCAAGGACTCCTCAAACAAGACATCCGTAAGGAGGTCGGGTTGCTTTTCGCACCATCCAGGAGCCACCTGCGAAGCCGGCCGATTGGGTGCCAGACAGGCGCCCGAGCGCAAATTCAGAAGCACCTGGCTAAACCATTTGAGTAGAGCTGGAAAGTCGCATGGGTGCTACTCATGTGCGTAGCTGAACAGCACAAGGAGTGCTCATTTGGGTGGGGCGCATGGGGTGTTCGGTCGTGTCACCTTGTGTCTTCTTTGTAAGAGTGGCAATTGGAGGAATGTTGCTCAGGCAGGTTGCAGGCGGTATTTTGTTTCGGACAAGTTCCAAATTAGGACTGGCGACTGAAGGCCTCCAAGCATCTAAGGAAAAACGGGCCACAGAGTCACAATATTACAAGCATGGCTTTCTATGAGACTCCAGAATCCCATTCCAAGTATTTGGCCCCTAATGTTGACCCTAACTAAGCCCCCCCTCAGGTAATGAATCAGGGAATTCGGTCCTCCTGCTCCACCAGTTCATCAAAGTTTGAATCCTCCTGGATAGGAACAAATCCCCACTAAGGGAGGTTATGGAGCCATCGGAGTGCCGAGCTCCGCTTTAGAGGTGCTGGCTGGAGATCTTTAAGCTCAGCAAGCTGGACGAGATCTACGCTGCCATCCCGGCGCCCGCCCAAGAAAGAAACGGATGACGCGTCTGCTTTTTGAGGGTACCCATTTTGTTTTTGTTTTTTTAAGGGAAAGCAAAATAACTACACTTTGTGGGGTCCTCCAAACGCAGGCGTGCCCAAGCAGAGCTTCCCCTCAGTTGCAACTTGACGAGCTTCACGGCTGAGCTCGGCCCAGCATCCATAGAGAAATGGTTTGCAAGACGCCAAGTGGCCGCTTTGTAGATGGACACAAATGAGACATGCTGCAGTCGCAGCCTAGTCAATAGGGTTTGGTGGTCCAAAAGACCCACCACCCCAATTGAAGTTCCACTTTTTGTGAATGGGAGCCAATTTATTTTGGGGCCGCTAAGAGAAAGAACTTGCTGCCCCAAGGATCCCGGGACCTCGGCAACGATGTTTTTTGAGGTCCAAAGCCTTCCAAGATCCCGACTTTTTTCAGAGAGTCCAATGCTGACGGCTCGTTTTGCATCCGAGGACAGCTTCATCACCCAGCCCAAGAGGTGGAAGGAGGCCTACGACTCGTCGGATCCTATGAAGCCGGGCGCTTGGACGGCGAAGCGGCTGGACTCGAGCCAGTCGCTCCCCGAGAATGTGTTGTGTTTTCCATTGTTTCCCTTTTTTTCTGGGTTTCCTTTGAAACCTGTCTGAAAAGGGCGCCCCTTTTGGTTTCCCTTTGAACCTTTTTTTTCGAAAAGGGTCCCCTTAAGAATGCAATTAGTTTGCGGCTGCCAATGGATTGCAAAGGCAAGCAACAAGGCTCCAACTATGCAGCAAAGAGTCCCTGGAGAAGTGTGGGGTAGGTGTTTTTTCTGTTCCATTTTTGTGCTTATGCAAAGTCAACGTTCCAGCATTCTCCACGGCAACATAGTGGCAGCAGTTGCGCCGGTTCTGAGTTGTATTTGTTTGTCAGCACTTGTGCTTGGCTGTGGCAGCAAGACTTCGGTTTGTACCTCCGTTTTCCAGCATGCTTGGAGGTCAAACCTCCTGGTTGCTAAGTACCAATCGAGACTAGACCATGTTGACAGTGAACCGCGCCATGGAGACAAGATTTCTTGGGGATCCACGAGCAGAGAAAACGAGCGCTGCCTTGCCAGGTACTTGACCGAGACCCGCACAGCTCCCGACAGCCTCAAGGGTGCGCCGGACATGGCCTAAACCAAGAAACCATTGCCTCGTTGGTCTTATTGGTTTGCACAGCGCGACTGCGGCCAGGGAGCATTGCTAACCACTAGGATTGGAACAGGGCCCTGGGCAAATTTGTGCAGCTTGAAATGCTCTTATGCCGTGAAATCGACCAAGTGCGCCTATGTGCAAAGCGGCTCCCCACGTGTCATGTGTCATTCAGAAAGCCAGGCCTCAGCGAGTTTCAGAAGCTTCTGGTGCTGAGGCGACGTGACAGAAGTGACGGACGAGAGAGCATGCGCGCACCCGCGTCATTGGTTTATGGATGTCTATGGCAGCAGGCAATGCAGGCTACTTGTGCTGTGAACAATGTACCTCGAGATGGCGTCGCTCATGGTGTTGCTGCACTTCCTCTTTTGCCCGATCATCGACCTCAAAAGTCTCCCCTGTCAATCGGCAGGTTTTGGATTTAGTACCGTTTCGTACCTGCTGTTGCAACTCGTACTCTTGTTGGACCTGTGTCATTCTGGAACTCGCGTTCTTACCTTGATTACATATCTGGAGTGTCCGATTGTTCAGCTTCTGTTAGCATGAGCGTCGTTGTTTGTGTTTGTTTTGAAAAAATGTTTGCTTTTTGTTTGCTCGCATTTTGCGGGTGGCTGAGGGCCTGTTTTCAGCTGAACGTTCCGCTCGCCAGATGTGTGCGACCGGACCGCGTCCTGCCGGCCGTGATGACATACGTCGCAGCGGAGGCGAAGCGTCTAACGAGAGCTGACTCTCCTGCAAGTTGACAACCCCCAAAAGGCCATATTATTTGGGGGAGACCCCTTTTTGGAGACCTCTGTTATGTTAATAGGGGAGTGAAGCGCGCTGAATTGGGGGGCTTCGTTCTCCCGTTTTGGGGGAGGCTCATTGCGCCCAAAGAAAAAAAGGCTCATTGGGATGCTGAGACGGCACGCTGGAGTCCACACCCTTCGCAACGGAACTCAGAAACTGCAGTGTTTGGTGTGAATGTGTCTAAAGGTCGAGGTGTTCAATCCGTTTTGGCCGCGGAATGTTGATTTCATGGAAGAAGCCTGCGATCCAGCGTGACCTTGCTTCGCCTTGGCAGCACCTGGGTGGATTTCAACATACATGTTCCCTGGCAAGCCGATGGTCAGCAAGTTGAGTATGCTCTGCTTCAGATCGGCGAGAAGTTTGTGACCCCGCCACCCTTCGACATTGCTGGGAGTGACTTGTCAGCAGCTTCCGTGAGCCAGCTGCCGTCAGCTCAAAAATTGCTTGCTTGGATATGGGCAAAACATGGGGCTCTGTGCTTCCAGAACTCGTGTCAAAGCCAAAATGCAATGCAGGCGGCTGGAAACTTGGCGAACATGCCATGGGGCTTTGATTGCTGTCGGTTCGCGTTCAGGAGCTTAAGAGCTCTTCGGAGTTGAGATGTAGCGCATGCAGTCCACCCTGTGTCTTTCAGGCTACTCCGACTCGTCAACGACCTCGCCCTTGATTTTCATCCTGTCACCAGGGTGCGGAGGGATGTGCTTTTACTCGCACGTCATGCCGCAATTTTAGTCGACGCACATTGCAAGCTCACATCAAGAGGACGAAGCGCTGGTCTTGCGCTATTGCCAGGTCTGACCCTTCCTCGGCTCTCTACATGTTTGCAGCAGACAAGGCTGATTGGCGGGAAGTCGCGAGAGAACTGCATTTTTGGCCAGGCTTTGGGGTAATTAGAATTCCCAAGGTTCAGATGTCAATGTGGTTGCAGTCATCGGGGGCATGCACCGGTTTCGTTGGCGCATAGTGCTGCTTCTGTCATGCCTTCCCCAAATCCCCATGGGTGAACCCCACCGATAGCTTTAAAATTGGCGATGCCAGCCGTCCGTCTAGTTTGCCTTGGAAGTATGCAAGAAGCCCGGCATATGCCGAGTTGCAAACGTGTCCTGGGAAGCAACAAATTCCATGTGGCACATGTGTGAAGGAGAATTCTGTGAGCCATTGGGTTCCCTTGTTGGCCGGTTTCGTGCACACGCTGCGGTGCGCAGGGGCGAGAGATTCACAGCCTGTCGCTAGGCGTGGTGGGGCAGGAGAAAGATGGACACAGAGAGAGAGAGAGAGAGGAGGGACGGAGTAGAGGGCGGACAATACATCATATTTGTTGGAAACTCTTCTATGGGCCCAACCCTTATAAGGGGGCGGCAGGACTGCCGTCCCACGTATTTTTCTGGTACCTTGCGTCTTAGGTGGGGTTAGCCGACCTCACATACTACTGCAAGCCATTGTTGCAGCACCCATTTTTGTGTGCACTCTACTCCGGATGTACGCGGTCAAATACGGCCATTGACCAACAACACATCAATTGCTGTCACCTCCATTTTGGTTGGGTAAGTGTCATATTTATGCGAAGCCGCTGAATTTGTAGCTTCAACGGACAGAAACATATGACAATCCGGTACCAAACATTGAAGGGAAACTTTGGTTGATTGGCGAGGACGCGCGTACTGGACAAAGCCTCCTACCCCGCACGGGCTACCTGCTTCAAACATATCCTCGAGGTTTTCCTTGCAAAAGTGGACCATAGCTCAGTTGTTCAACATTGACATGAGGTTGCGTGGAAAGGGAAATCGTCGGAAGACCTGTGCATGCTTAGCAAAGAAGCGGATCATTGCAATGTCTGAACAATAACTTGGCATACCCCTGATCTTGCTGGTGGAACGAGCCAAGGCTTTACAAACGAGCACACAGGCGCTGATAAGCCTAATCCCAAAGGCGCAACATTATCAATCAGGAAAGCCTTCCATGTTTGTTGGAGAGGTGGTGAACCTTTCAGAACTATCCCTTTTTCCAATGCAGGAGACAGGCTCGAGCCTTTGCTCATTTTGTATTTGCATGGCCGACTCTCTGACATATCTCACGAAAAAAAAAAAAAAAAAAAAAAAAAAAAAAAAAAAAAAAAAAAAAAAAAAAAAAAAAAAAAAAAAAAAAAAAACAAAAAAAAAAAAAAAAAAAAACTGGAAAAACAAACTACGCTGCAGTTCCCTACTTGCAATATTCGGGCATCCACTGTGTCCCAAGTCCTACAAATGCTTGGTTCACTTGCAATTTTCGGGGACTCAACCGCATCCAATCCATCTTCCCCAAATCGAGGTTGATTCAAGGGCAAATTCTCCGAAAACCCGAGTTGGTGGCTTGAATACGGTTGGGGATTTGATTCCTTGGCAAACCGGCTCCAAACAGCCAATGAGAGGGAAGCTGAAAATTCCTGGGGCGTCCAAAGTTGAACCCAGACTTCAACTACAGTTGATTTCGGATGGAGAACCATTTCCTTGGGTCAGGTCTACCATCAACGGCCAACAAACTCGCCTTTGGGCCATCAACAACGGAACTTCCTATGGTCTTCCTGGCACGATCAGTTTGCTAATCATTCACCAGAGGAATCCATCTAGTGGAAGCCCAGTTGTCCTTCTTGTACTATCATTTTCCAGTGCCATCCTATCTGGCTGCTCAAAATTTAAGAGCCACAAGTCAAAACATTTTGCCATGTAGGGTTCCATGTTGGGATATTGTTATTAATAATATTATAATACGTATTATTATTGTAAATATTACTTAAACAAAACTGGGCGTGGCTCTTATTATTATGAATGATAGTGTATGTGTTATTGTTATTGCTAATATGGTTATGATATTTATTGTTATGACAATGTTAACAACACTAGTTATAGTAATGATAATGATAACATTCACACTACAAAGGCAAGTATTGACAATACAATTATGACAACTGGATATATATTTTATATATAATATACAGACTATGTTTGACTCCATGCACAGAAGCATAATTTTCTTTTTTAGTACAATACTGGATATATATACATATATGTATGTATAATAGTCAGATCAATAGTTGACAATACACACAAGCAAATTATTCGTAAGAGCCACGCCCAGCTTTTGGCCACCTAAGGACACCTCGCTCGGCTCTCGCTGGCCAGGCCAGGGCCAGGGCCCCAAGGCGGAGCGCCTACTCTCAGAGGCCACCAGCTCCGGCAGCTGGGCCCGGGGCCCAAAACGAAGCGACTGCCTCTGTTGGTTTCCTCTCGTTGCCCCAGTTTTCGTGCCATAGGCCCGTTGTGAATTGGACCTCTTCTGGTCCAATTCTGAGTCATGGCCCCTGTTTTTGGCCCACTTTGAGCCACGATCAAAACCCGGGCAGATGAAGGTTGGTAAGGGGCAGTCCCAGCCAGAAACAGTTGCGGCCGCCTTCTTTGTGCATGGTGCTGGGTAGACCATTTGAATACCGGGTTTTCATTGCGACTCTCTTTGAGTCATGGCCCCAAAAAGCCCCCTGGTTGGCCCATTTTTGTTGCTGTTTCCTGCCTGTGGTGAACCTCTTCTGGTGCAATTCTGAGCCATGGCGACTGTTTTTGTGTCATGTTGAGTCGTGGCACCAAAAGTGAACGTCTTCTTGCCAGCTCCTCTGGGCAAGTGAGGTTTTTCGATTTCTACTTGAAGGATGGATGGTTTTCAATGCGGTTGTATCCAACAAAAACCTTTGCTTTTAACACACTGGTTTGGAATCCCAAATGTCGAAGTCTCATAACCCGGGCTTGCACTGGATTCCACAGCCCTGCTTGCGAACTGTCTTTGGACATTGAGAAGAGGGCTGCAAGCCCAATTTTCCTGTTCTTGGGGAAACTTTCGTAGTTTTGTCAGGCTGATATGAAGAGCTTTTTCGGGATCCTTTTCGGGATTGCTGAGGTGCTGCTGCAGAACTGTCACCTGTTCGCTTCATGGATGCCCAAGTTGGACAAGATCCTGGAGCAGATGGACCCCAAGCAGACCAATACGGACTTCAGGTGGCATGTTTGTGGGACACCTGACACCGGACTCCTTTGTGAAGTTGGGGACATGGAAGAAGCGACCCCTAGCAGGGGGATGAAGCCAATATTCATTTCAAGATGTCGAATTCTGCTCGCTTTAAGGAAGCTCCAGACCCCCACTCGAGTGAAGGGTTGGATTGGACCCTGTCGCAAAGCCACATACTGAGGATCCAAGGGGCAAGGTGAGCCAACAGAAAAGGTTACTCAGTTACTCATGGTCCATGGCCCCGAAAATTGTTACTAGTTACTAGGCTGGGCTTTTGCTATGGCCTAATTGAAGACAGCCTCGGCCAAGCACACGCGGCTTCCTGTACGCAGGTTGTGGCTGACGTCGTACCCATCGGACAAGTTCCCAGCTTGGGGCTCAGCATGCAACGATCAAGCCGATGATCCTGTCCACGTGTGCGATGATGGTAGAAACATGATTTATTTCTTTTTCCATTAGAGAGTGCGACTGGGGAAGAAGACAGGGTTGGGTCTATGTCCTATGTTTCCAAGCGAGCAACCTGGCATTACTGAGTGAGGTTGATTGACAAGAACGTGAGGCCTGTGTTCAACCCGAGACAACGGCACAATCACCTGTCAGCTGCTATTCCAAGCAGCCAAGGTCTCGATCCTGCAGAACAGCGTGTCAGTCTTAGCTCGGCCTGGACTAGCTGCCTAAGTCCATATATGCACACCAAAACTGGACTCAGACATTCCGAAAGCGCAACCTTAGGACATCTCCAGGTATTTCTGTTTGGTCACCCAGCATGCCTGCTAGATTGCTGGACCGACTGTTTTCTTCCGGTGACGCTCGAGCTGGCGAATGAATTGGGGAATCCAATAAAATTGTGTGTGTTTTTGCTTTTCGTTTTCCCTGCTGAAATCTGGACCCAACATTCAGAAGTATTGGATGGTGTCATCCAAGTCAGGCCTCTCTGACGCGTGACGAGTTCACCAAACACCACCCATGACTTGAGGAGGTTAGTTGCCACATCGGTGCATAAAGAGGCTATCACTCTTGCGCGCCCCTCACCCCACCTCGCACATCACCCAGCGAGGTGAAGGTCACCAACGAGGCTCCACAAGGGCTGCGCATGAACCTCGTGGGCTCCTACCTCATGGCCACGCCCTGATGGCGAAGAGAGCGCCAGCATGGAGAAATCACCCATGGTTGGTGTGTGTGATGAATATCAACAAGAGGTTTGCATGCGTCAGGATTCAGCCGAGTTTCGCTGAGGGAGGAGCAATGCCCTGGGAACCATAATGTAAGAGACAGTTTACAGGTGTTTACGTGGGACATCGCTCCCTAACGATACAATGCCTCAAGATCGAGAGCTTCCGGGAAGTCGTTGAAGATTGTTCTGAAGGTGTCCGATGACGTAAGTGATGTCCCCCACTTGAAATGGAACACTTGGTGTGGTTTGGCTCTAAACGAGACCATGTATTGTTTGTAGCTTCCTGTGGTTGTGTGTTGGGCGGAAGGTGGCTCTGCAAATGAGTGAGCAGGGGCTCCCATACAGTACTTAAATGCCCATAAGCCTCAAGGTCTTCCATTGGGTGGGTTATCGGTCCAACAACGTTTGAGGAACGGGATGTGAAATCACTATAAGGAGGGCAGGATTGTTCTCAAATGAATCATCGCACCCGTGTCAATCTTTGTCAATTGCTCTTTGTAGCAATAGGTAAGCCTGACGACTGCTTGTTGCGCCAGCCTACCTATGACTGTCAAAGGCATCTGCACAACAACGGGCATCCTTTCAATTTCCGTGCCCGGGTTGGTGCTTTTGTGTCGCAATTGATGACTGGGCAGCTTCATCGCTGCTTCAGCAGGTAGGGGGACTGTACCAGCCGTGGAAATTGGAAGCATTTGGCCTACGTACTTGGCGAGGAAAAGGCGGGACCCAAAGCCACAGAATACAGAACTATATTTTTTTGGCCGCCGGTATGATGTTCATTAGGTCGCAGCAAGTCGGCCCTTCTCGACGAAAAACACATGTAGCGGCCATCCGCCACGAGGCGTCGGCTTTTCGGTTCCGAGGATCCCATCAGCAACGAGGAGTTCTTCGAGGGGTGCAAGAACCCACAGGTGGGGATTCGGGGATTCCCACCACCCCCAAAGCCAAAACTCATCTAAGGATTTGTTGGTTTGCCCGGTTTTCGTTGTGACTCACTGGTTCTTCCCGGGAAGAAAAGCTGAGAAGGGGTTTCGACTGGACAAGCCACGCCCGTTTCAAGTCCAATGATTGTTTGCAAGCCGCCAAGCAAAAGAATGCTCATCGCAAAAGTAGTGGCTGAATAAGAAACGTGGCGCCACTTGCTGTTTGGACGGTAAAGACATTCGGCTCCGGGGGAAGATGCATGACTGGAGGGTGGGAAGAGTCCACGTGCAAAAACTCCAAGGGCCCCTTGATTGAAGCAGATCGCAAATACAGAGATCGAGGAGGCAGCAATGGAAGGGTGTGAAGCGTGTCCGGCAGCGAAGTGGAGCCAAGCTTGCACCCATGTCGGGCAAGGCGTTCAAGCGGCTGCTGTATGCCCTGTGCTTCTTCCATGCCGTGATCCAGGAGCATCTGGGGGTCAAGTGTATTCTATCGCAGGTGTGGCGGGCATATGGCATATGCGTGCAACGTCAACCAACATGCACTTTCCAAGATGGCCGTAAGGGCATCCAGTCGCTTCCCTTAATTTGCCAAAGCAGAGCGTTGCAGGAGCGAAGGCTGTTCGGGCCCCTGGGTGCAGCTGACATGATTTGAGCGAGCCTTGCGAAAAATCAAGCAAGTCGTTTGTCAGCTGAGCCATTTTTCTGGCCGGCAGCGATCTAAGGCAGAGTGATCCCCATGAAGGTTGCTCACTTCGGGATGTGTTAGTTATTTGTGCAGCATGTCTAGATGTGTCCAAATGTGTCCCCCAAGAAAGACGGGGGCGTCATTTTTGAGGGTGCTCTTTTTGAGTTTGTGTCAGAAGGACTCCACAGAGAACTCACCCTTTCTGGGAACTGGATGAGCTTGCTGAAGGCACTGAACCTCGCCAGGCTGGAATATCCCCTATGAGTTCACTCAGAACGCCCTGGCCTGAGTTGAGTCAAAACCCAGTTGTCCAGTTCCGCCTTTCTTCCCCGAATTGCTGGCTATGGCTTCTAGTCGTTGGACTGAATTTTACGGGCCCAAATGGTTGGCAGACGTGGATCCCCACGTGTTGTCGACGTCCACCAAAGGGTCGCCAATGAAAACTCATACCGGAATGCTTTAGGGGTTCTCACTTCTTTGGAGGCCACTCGATTCGGTTTTGTTATCTTCTTTGTTTTCTTTTGGGGAGAGCTCCCTTCACAAACCAGGGTCCCTTCCCCCCCCCCTTCCTCTGCAAGACCAAGATGTCCCTTTTCCCCCCCACGCTGAGCACATAGCCGGCACAGGACCTGCGGATCTCTGCGCGGCAGCTTCAGATGTTCATCGACGAGTCCCCGGATCAGATCCAGTACAAGGCAACGTGAGCAATCACTTCGCAGGGTTGCGCCAATGGTCCACCCAGAAACCCTGGGAAATCCCACCATTTGTTAAATATGCGAACTAAGTGTTACTTAATGTTACTTACTCTACTTTGGCCCCCTTTCGGATTTCAGAAGGAAGCCCAAAAAAAAGCTTGGAACCTTGGAAGGCTCCCGATCTTTTGGTACCCATACTGTGCACGTGTTTCTTGCATGGTGCAGGCTTAGTGTTGCTCTTGGAGTGAAAGAGAGTAGCCCCTTCAACAGGAGAGCCTATCACAATGCCTGGGGAATAGCTTTGCCTGTAACTTTCCGGGGTAGCAAATCGGACAGGATTTGTTGGGATTTGTTTTTGTTTGTTTCTCCAAAAACCACTGTGAATGGAAGCACCGGAGATTCGGAGGCGATCAACTACTTGGCTGGGGAGTGCAACTATGGCGGCCGCGTCACCGAAGCGCAGGCCAGCGCCGAGTCTCGCGCCGGTTGGAGTGCACTTCCGTTGAACTCGGAAGCCCCAGAGTCACCAGAGGAAACTCCAAACAGGGCCCCTTCCCCCCAAAAAAAAACTGGTATGCTGATTCCGGATAGCAAGGCTGAACTTAGTGTGGCCTTGCACTTTGCGCAGTGTTGCTCTTTTTTCGGGGGGGGGGGGGGGATTCCTTTGATTCGTATGGCGTCCGGAAGTCATCATTAAATTGTTAGTAAGAAGTGGTACATTGCATTGCGCCATTGTCAACAGATCCAGTTGTCGGGGTAGGTGGGGATGGGCATTAGCCTTCAAGATCGGATGTTCGGCACGCGTCATGGGGTGCTGTCAGAAAGCTACAGCAATCCTTTGTACAAGCGGGGCTGTGAATCATGGCACATGAGATTCTGTCAAAAGTCCAGTAGTTTGTGATAATTTGTCTGGGAGGGACATGGAGAGACTTGCCACATTTCCCCCGCAAAAGCCAGCGCACGTGACAGTTCTTATTTCCTTTCCCGGGCCCCGCATATTGTGACTGCGGGTCTGAGGTTATGTGTTGGAAAGATTGGCGTGTCAAGAGCCAGTTATCCAGGCCTGTCCACAGAAGGCACTGACGTACGACCAGGACAGACGCTTGTTGATGACATTGCTGCTCGACTACTACAACGAGGATGTGCTCAAGCCAGGCCTTGGCATGTCAGTACCGGAGTTGTCTGCCAGTGTTGGGAAGGTTTCCCGGAGAAGGAAAAGGGTCATGGAAAAAGTGGCCAGGCGGCCAAGTCACCATGGCTTGCTTCAGGCCACAGCCTGTGTGCGGAGCACCCGAGCTTCAAGGTGCCTGCGGCCGGATCCATGGAGGAGCCGTGCGTCGGGATCCGGTTGCCTCGTGGTTTTGCAAGAGGTAGGGGGAACTTGACTCGATGTTGTTTGGTGAACACCAAACAACTTGGCTTGGGACATGGTGCGGGGACATGGTTCAAATCGGGATCTTTTTGTGAATAGAGGTACAGAACAAGGACCTTCCAGGAGGTTTTGGCCAGGTGTTTTGGGATAGGGGCGCCAATGCTTGCAAACGTTGAACGGCCCTGACACATCCTCATCCAAAATTCGACAGACACTCCCTTTGTTAGGATATGTAAATATGTATGTATATAATTGGAGGTGTGATGTAAAGATATTGTGCAATGATCGCATTGTATCACGGATATATGTTTATATTTGTTGTTTCTTCTGTTATATTATTCAGCCCTTCAATCGAGTGACGAAGGAAGATGACAAATGAAAATATTGGTAGCATAAAGATAAGAATATTCCTATGGATCATTGTCTTCACCAACATGTTGATTGGAGAGAAGAAGGATTTGGGAACTAACGGTTGGTGGACACAGACATGAAACCCACCTTGAGATCCCAAGGGGAGTAGTTTAAAAAAGAAGACAATTCATGATCTAGGATGTGTTCTCATTTTCATTGAGATTATTTCCTTTCACAATGTCATTCTTCTAAAAAGTCAATGACACAACCTCTCTATTTCGCAGGAGCTGGTTTTAGATGCCTAATTACCATTCATATTATTCCCCAACAGCTGAAAGCTTTGGGGTCTCAGCCCAGATAGGCTCCGGGGTGGTCTGGGGCGGCCCTGAGGTAAGGTTCCACGAGGGTTTTACCAGGGTTCCACCAGGGTTCCACCGGGTTCCACCGGGGTTCCACGAGGGTTCCACGAGGTTTTGCGAGGGCTCACTAAAACGAGCACTGCATGCTGTTGGGTTAATTGACCTATGAACAAGATGTTAAATTGAATCTCTTTCGTATCTTTTTACATCTTATCTGGTTGCACGGGCAGGTTGGAGTTTTAAAGATTTCGGTGTTTATTCTTTCCAGGACCCTATTTCTTTCCAATGCATGTTCATCTTGTTGGACCTCGTGACATGACAATTTTGAAGGAGCTTGACCAAGAGATACAGCATTACAATGAAGACGTTTCTATTGGAGATAATTATTAGGAGAAAGGCAAAAAGGATGTGGAATGTGGACGGATTCCTATCTTGGTCTTTCTCATGGTTTCTAAGGCTGAGGACGGTCACGGACCCATCGATCGTGCATCTGTTGACAGTGGTCTGGAGCTTGTGCCACTTGACAGCTAGGTGGGGGGCAAAATATGAGACTGCCATCGATCCTTGACATGCCTTGGTGGCAACCTGCCGCTTGCCGCATATCATTCAGACAAACAACAGCTCGTGAGTCGATTGCCGCGTGGGACGGTGGCTTTAAATTGAGTTTGTTGTCAGATGTTCGAAGAGTTCGCCATCTAGCAAACTTACCTTTGAAAGCTTTGGTTGATTCACAGTGTTTGTGCACATGCCCTGCACTCTTGCTATTGCCTATCAGGAGACTCTGGACAGCATTCGGCAGGTGCCTATGGTAATACCGCCAGGAATTTACGGAACTCCTGGCATACTTTGCAGAGCTGCGGTTTCGGAGGAAAGGCTTCCAGTTGTCTCGAGCATCCAAAAGTCCAAAGTTTAGGTCACTGCAGAATGCATCTCTTCCGGAAGCTGCAAGTTGTTTGGTTATTGCACATGCCCACTGAGACATTTCTGAATCATCCTGCGAAGTGTTCAGGCGGCCGGAATCTGCCATATGACAGGCTTCCACGAAAATGCGAATCTCACCAGAGAGCAGAATGAAACCTACGCTGCTCGGCAGTGGGGAGACGCCTTTTTGTCCCCTCGTACAGTGGTACAGCAATCCGAAGGTCCAAGTGTAGAGCTGCCGGAGTCGCACCCTCTCTATGTAAGGATGGTTGTCGTTCCCTGAAGGTGTACCATTTGGGTAAAAACCCAGGTCAGATGTACTTACCCGCTAAAGGAGGGGGGGGGTTCTTATATGGCTTGACACTTCAGGCTGGCACTTCTGCATGGCAAATCAGAATAGTCAATAATCGCAATCGAGTCGCCAAGCCACATTCCTTAGCATGAGCTCTTTCTGGACATGGCGACTCCGTGCGCCCTTTGTAGTTGAGTCTGGAGCGTACTGCGTTCCTATGTCCTTCCCTGGCTCGTCGTTCCAAGACAATGTGAATTGTGTTGTGCTTTCTTATCCCGAAGATAGAATGCATCATGGCATCAATGCTTGCTTGGAAAAGAGCACTGCCTCTTGTGCATCGAAGCCTTTTGAGGACTCTGTTGTGCTGTTTCAGCGCCTTACCCCACCGAGTATGACGCATCCTCCTGAATTGTGTTGTCCTCCTTCTCCAATGCATCATGAGATTTGTATACACTGATGTTGCGCGGTAAGCCAATAGGCGTTGCCTGTTCTTATGGATGCACAGTTACAGTTCATTCGTTCATACCATGTTAGCCACGCTTTAGGTTTGGTGCTACATGGTTCTGCTTCTTCTTCGGTGGACGGCGTGTTTTGGTTTTCCTTAACAAGCTGAAAGGGCGCGCTGCATGTCCTTTGTTGGCCAGCTCAAGATAACCATTTTCGCATGCTTGGCCAATGAATGCCCAATGCATGTCCAATCGGTGATTACGCATATTTGCGTCTTCAAACTCATGCTCGTGCGTCGAGCCCCAAACTCAGCTACCCCGCCAAGGCCATGATGGAGAATTTGCTCTTGACAGTGGGACAGGCTCGACAGCTGAAGACTCTAAGAGCCTTGCCTCAGCTCAGATGAATGGATCACACACCCCTGCCATGCGCGGAGTTGTGATTATCGGTAGACGGACCTCCGACTCTTTGTTCTGCGGCCTGTGCTGATGGCCAATGAGCAACCTTGAGTGGGACGGCTTTTTGTCCCTCTGCGCGCGTGTTGACAGGTGAAAGCAGGAAGCAACTCTGTTTCGAGCGTTCCATCTTGGCAATACCATTTAGTTTTTTCTGCTGAATTTGAGAGGTGCGATTTGCAGCCTGCCCCTCCCCCTCCGCCCCGACCGTTGCGAGTCATTTAGACCACCCTGCATCAAAGACCCTGATCGATCCGTGCATTTGTCAAAGGAGTAGTAGGCCTTGCAAACGCTTTGAACTGACATTTTTTCTGGGCTGTGCTCAACCGCTCGCTTGGCACGCCGGCAAGAGACATGTCCAAACGTCCCGGAGAGTTTTAAGCTTTGAGAGAGCCCATATCTAATGCTCAAGCGCATGAACACTTCAAGTCTGAAATCTGGAAAGGATATGCTTTGCTTCGGCTATGTCCGCTGTGTGACCTTTGTGTCAGGCTTCCGCCGGTGATGGCGCCTCGCGTGAGGAGACGGTTGGTGAGGCAGCGACACGCGACACCCCGAACAACAAAGTTCATGTTCAGTCAAGCACGGCAGGCAGAAGTGCTCTTTGATTCGTTTCGACTTTGTTATGCATCTCATGCAGGCGTGTTGGACTCGTTTGCTGTACCATTCTTGACGGCGGATTGATTTGAAGACATTATGTTGCACTGTGAATGAAGGATGCAAACTGCAGGCTGCTTCTTCGAAGTCCATGATTGATTACCCTATGTGACGTAGATGTTCAAGCGAGAGCATGAATCAAGCTGCTGGTGTATTCTGCAGCTGTGCGCCCATCAGAGAGGATTGAGGTCATGCTGTGCTTTAAGAACATTGATCCAGAGGCTCCTTCATGGGATTCAAACAAGCCATTCTTCAAAACGGATATATCCGATCCTTGACGGGGAGGCAAGCATGATGAACAAGCTTTGCTGTTTCCGTTTAGTTGGCCAGCACAGAGTTTTTGTCTCTGCGTATTCTCACGCGGCTGCTACGACAGAGTTGGGCGTAGAAGGCCCTAGATGTCTCCGGTAATGGAAGAAGTAGTGCCCTGTTGAGGCCGCAGGCAGGTAAGAATTGACGCAAGAAGTCAACTCTCCCCAAGCTACATTTACATGCAAGTGACAAGTCAAAACGTTGGTGACAAGACTGCGTGTTGAAACCGCAGGCAACCTCTGTGAATTCACCATGTGATGCCATAGCTTAAGCGTCTCAAGTGTATTCAGTAAGAACATCCTTAAGTTTTTCATTCGGAAAGAACTGTCAGTGCAGTGACGTACTGTACTGGTGCCAGTGGAAGATCTAGATCACAATGCCAAGCTCCGGTCGGTACTATCTTGTTGCCAGCATTTGAAGGCTGGAGATGCACATTTTACCCAAGATATCATTTAGAGATCATGTTTTGCAGTCCATGATACAGGTACCCCTAAGGGGGGGAGTGGCTATCGGGACGAAGGATACGCCCTTAATAAGGCCTGGTTAAAGGTTTTTAAGGGATAGACCCCCCTGCCCAGGTCCATGGATGATAGAACTCTTCCAACCCCCAGTTCCTTGATTCAGTGTAGGGGAGCAGGCCTAGGATCGTGACAGCCAGGCCGCCAATGACATCCTTCGGCGGATGCCAGATCAGTTCGACTTGGAGGAGGTCCAGAAAAAGTGCGCAGATCCATGGCCGAGGGTAGCATTTTCAGGTTGTGGGAAGCCCCAAGGAGAAGCCACCACTTTGGCTGCTATGTTGACACACAAGCACGCTCATCTCCGTTTGTGCACCCAAACCTTCCATGCTGGCAGCATTCCAAACAGGTGGCGTGGTAGCCTCACCACCAAAGCCATGATTTGACATTGTTGCTGCCTATTATGGGAACCATGGTCCGGTCACCAAAACTCACTCAGCATACGGATTACTATCAACCTGTTGCAACATTCACATATTAGTTTGGTATGATTACGCATTCTAAGCGCATTATGGTACATTGCAGTATATTGAGCTGACGTTTGATTCTCTTGCCAAGAGCACTTTCTCGTGCAGGTACCCCACCATGTATGAGGAGTCCATGAATACGGTCCTGGTGCAGGTGGGCAGCAAGACAGCGATGTGACACCCAGTAGAAGAAAGTCCTTTCGGGGATCCTTGTCTGGTTTCTATGGGTCGATGTAGACGGGATTGTCGCATCCCTGATTTGCATGAGCTGGCAAATGAGCGGCGACCTTCAATCAGGAGCATGCAGGTACTTATCCAAGGACCCTCTTTTTCAACCCCTCGGGATTGTTTGGCCCCTTGCCAATTCCTTTTGGAGACGAGCGAAGGTCGAGGGCCCAAATTCGGCATCTCCGTCGTCCCGAGATGTTCATCTTTCCACGGCAGGAGCTGACACGATTCAACAGCTTGACCAAGGTCATCGCGGCCACCTTGAAGGTGGGCCAAAAGAATCAGCCGATAGACATGTTTTAAGCGGAAGACGCTGCTTGTGAGAAGGCAGCCATTCAAGCAAGGGGCCCCTGAAAGCAAGATCTAGAAGTACCCCATTGAGGCCAGGAATTTGTGTTTAGGTGACCACAGACCAACTGTGATACGATTGTGTGGTTTCTGATTAGGAGGCATTCGTAGGCGTAGTAAAGATGCATCATTGGCCACAGTCTAGCAGAAGGCTTGCAAACGTGAGTCATGACCAGATCCTGACTACTCTCTCTCTCTCTCTCTTGCTTTTTGAGACTCCCTCAGCATGCCTTCAAAGGGATTTCGTCATCCCGACCAGGACATCCAAAAGGCAATCCAAGGATTGCTGTTGATGAGCCCGGGCCGCCAGAGAGCAGTGCTCGAGGCCGAAGCTTCATCCGTTGAACTCTGGCCATCAGTCAGCTCGAGAGAATTCCTTACTTTTAGCGCTTGCTGAAGCCCCGGTTGGTTGATGCAATTCCGGCAAAACATGGAAAGCGCAAATAGCAGGGAAGCTTAGCGCCAAGACGGAGAGTGACAGAGTGGGAGAGAGCGCTGCATGTCAGAATGCCCATGAAGCGCAGATGGTCCTCAGATGGTAATACCGCCTTTTCTGGGCAAAGAGATGGAACACAAACAACAAGTACTCTAGCAGCAGGACTACGGGAAGAATTGGAACAACTAAAACGAATCATTACAATATTTAAAGGGCCATGCAAGAATATCAGAAGTCAGAAGGCCTTGTGTGCGCCTCAAGACCTCGAGGTCCAGATTTGGAGCAGGTCTTTCTGTCCATCTTCAATGGCAAAACGCCGGGCCCCCATGGCAAGACACCGGGTTTCATCTCTCGCCTCGCAGTATCTTGGGAGTCCATGCAAAACGCACCATGGCCGAAGGCGCAAGTTCAGAGCAATCAGGGCTTATATGTGTGATGCACTTGAATGTACTGTCAGGATTGGCTTCCAGTACAGAAAAACAAGCGAAATGGCCTGATCACCAGCGATGAAAACTATTGAATATGATCACGGATCGGGATCGACGAAGGGTTGCAATTCCTCTCCACCCCCCCTCCATGTTTGCTTGGTATTTTGGCCCTGATCCGATGCATGTGCCATAGTGCAAGTTTGCTTCGGTCAGAGCCCAGCAGCCGCAAAGAGTATTCATGCTGGTCGTGAATGGGCAGCTAAAATTGGAAGAACAGTGTGGATTCACTGGCAGACTGGGATCTATATTTGTCGCAATCCTTCCTATAGACGTGCACTTTAGGTATATGTTCATACGGTTGATGTGAACGGATCACTGCTCACGCGCAGGCCTGCATTGTGGTTGGCAAACAGCTACCCATCCTTGAAGCCGCTCGGGGGCTACACCAACGTCAGAGCCCCAGTGACTAGATCCCCGACGTCTAATTTACGTCGTGTTGGCGGTCGTGACTTTTCGCAATGAGGGTTGAGCCAGTGTTGGAAGGAGCTTGTGAGCGTGCCAGCATTGGCTGAGGATCTCATCGAACGATTGAAGTTCTTTCAGGCGAGCTGCAAGTGGAGTGCGAAACGAGGGCAGACGATTGCCCCCTTCCCTCCTGCTGACGTAGCGCATGGCAACTGGGATCCCCTGTTTAGGTGCAGGAGGGCATGGTGCACGGCTTGATTTTGACTCCCTGATTCACAACTACTCAATCCTTGCAAGAGAAGGGCCCACTCTGTTTGCGGCACTAGAGGGACCTGGGGAACACAGTCTTGCATCTTTTGCCGAGACTCACTTCCCATTGGCTGGAGCCCGGCCCCCTCCAAACAGAGCAGTGTGATGGGAGCAAAAGCCAAAACTCGGATAGTTGGACGTTCCTGGCATGAATAGAAGCGGCCACCTTTGTAGACACACAAGTTTTGGGTAGACTCTTTTGGCACCAGGATGCTGGGCTGTGGATTAGGACTTTGCTCCGTTCTGCAACGACCATCTGATTTGCCCAGACCTGGATTGACAACGGCATTCCTGTGACCTTTTGGCTGAGCGGCATCTACTTCACGCAGGCCGATGCGGGGAGGTTGGTCAGCTGAGCCCATGTCAACCCCTGATCAACCCCCTCCCCCGCCTACTATTAAGGGGTCCTTATGAGGATTGCTTTCCAGGGAGAGCTCACCCTTTAAATGACTGGTTTTTGTCAATAAATGAACAAGGTGTCCTTGCAAGGGCCCGTGCTCAACCTGAGCTGCAAAGGGGAAATACGAGCAGCCATACACAAAGTCCATCTTTACCAGAAAGTAAGCATGGCCAGCCGCTGCGAGGCGTTTACCACGGGCGCCGCGCAGAACTTTGCCCGAAGGCCATGGGTGGGACAGTGGCATGTGAGAGGCCCGTGTTTGGCCTGAGTTTCAAGCAAGGTTCACCCGGAAAAATGTTTGTGGACATGAAACCCAATGTTACTCTTCCAAAGGTTCCCAATCAAAATATCATACCAGTGGGAGGAACTGATGGAAGTTTTGCTCAGCGTGCACTGAGTCGCAGTCAGAGGAACACAATAATTGACTCTTGAAGCAGCGGATCCACAAACTGATGCCACCTTCAGGGGTAGCCCGTTTGCCAAACCCCTATCCAAAGGAGTTGTGTTGCGTTGGAATGAATCTGTTTGAAGCGTTGGCAGTCACTTCCGACAAGAACAAGATCTGTATTTGATGCCGGCTTGGCCAATCTCTGCATAGATCTGCCCAAGTTGTCTCCATTGCGCCCACTGCACCTCTCTTTTCACACCCGAGGTACACCATCCCCATCGACACGGTGGTCTTTGACTTCGACATGCCTCCGGAGACTTTGCGAAGTTAGCTCATGGCGATGGCTGTGCTTCTTGAGACCTCAAACCGCAACCACCTGAAAAGTGGTCCCCACCAGGATACTCATGGGGTCCCCAATGCGTATGACGCGGTGCATTGCTTTGCTCTCAGGTACTTTTCGCTTTGACATGCGTTGAGCACAGATGGGATTGATGTCCAGTGCATGCCCACGTGTTCAGAGTCGCTTAGAACCGGATGGTCGTTTCAGTATAAAGAGACCAGGCACTTGACGTGTCGCAGAGCCGGCCGTTGCATCACGTTTTGATGTTCTGTGATTGCTGTTAGAACTCAGCCAGTGTGAAAGGGTTCACACAGTGAACAGGTCAGAGAACCGTTTCCGGGGTCGTTCGGTGAGGAGCAGCAGCCCACCGCGAAGCCGGACAATGGGGTGTGCGCCTTACTTTGAGCTTTGTGATGGATGGCAACGGCATAGGCTCCATTTCACATGGAACTCTGAAGGGGGTCCCCTAAAAAAAAATCCTCCAAAGCTTTGGTTTTTGTTTTGGCGTTCCAGGTTAATCTACGAAAAAAAGGTAGCATGCGAACGCGCGAAGGGAGTTGAGAAGTCTTGCGAGGAACGGCTGATACCTTTCGTTGTTTCCGTCATCAGCCTGTCTCTTGCCACTCTGAGTAGCCTATCGAAGGGTCTCCAAGAGAGACATAGCTCGAGGTCTATTGCAATGGGCTCTTCCTGGAGGGCTGCAAGTGGGATGCCGCAACGTGTCTCGACCCGCATGAAGTTGGAAGGTTTGAACGGGCAACCGGTAGCTCGAGTTTGAGCAGTAACTCCGAAGTAGTTGCTACACTTGCCAGATGCGCGTGTGCCACTTGCCACGCTGTCTTGGGCATTGGACAGCTGGGGAAGGATGCTCTCAGGTGGCAATTGGCAGAGAGCGATCTGAAGGTGCTCTATGCTTCTTGGCCAGATGATTCGCTTGCGACGATGCCTGCTCAGCTCCTGATAGGCCGGTTGCGAAGCCTCAAGCAACGAATCAGAATGAACACATCCTCATGATTCATGTCCATGTTGAAGCTGCATTTGTCTGTCAATGCCTTCAAGCCACTAGTCTGAAGCGGAACCAACATGTCAGGAATATAGAATGCTAAGGTGTGTGGCTAGATTAGGTAGCTCATGCATGAGGTTTGAAGGATCTGCAAATCGGTCTCGCCTGAGGTTGCTGTTCCATTGCTATGGATCCTGCCCTGCCGAAAGGCTGGTTTTGAGCCGGCAGACAGGTTGCCACTGTCCATTGAGCCGGGCAACAGATTGTTCGGTCTCGAGATCTTTGTACATCTCAGCGGCCATCACTCCATGGATGAATGAGTATGTGCGATACTACAACGCAAGCGATCAGGGCATGTTTATGCATACATCGGCATTTGCGCTTGAGTGTGGTTCCGTGCAAAGGTCTGTTGTCAAAGGTTCTGCCGCCATCGCGGTCCGCAAGTTGAAGTCTGGTTCAAATGCAGCGTTCGCGGTCCCAACTCGAAGCAATTCTTCGGCCTGGAGAAGGTCTGACGCGGGAAGGCTGGAGCAAGCTGCTATGCTCCGTTGGTGGCATCCCCGAATCGCGGGTGGCCATTGCCCTCCCTGAGGATCATGGTGAGAGGCAGATCAGTGTCAAGGCCTTCCTGGACCATTTATATGGCCCGGCAGGCTTGGACCTGGCTTCCAACCAGACGGATAGAGAAAAGCGACATTGGCTGGCGCAGGTGGCGGTGAGCGGCCTGCATTTGGCGGAGGCACCTCTGTGGCTGCGCAGCGACCGTGACGTGGTGCTGCGGGCGGTGGCCGAGAACGGCTCAGCGCTGTCCTTCGCCGCTGCAGAGATGCGGGAGGACCGGGAGGTGTGGGCCGCCGCGCGGCGCGGGTGGCTGGCCAAGATCGGGGAGTACGGCCTGCGCCTGGCGGAGGCGCCGGAGGAGCTGAGGAGAGACCGGGAGGTGGTGCTGACGGCGGTGGCGAAGGACGCGGCGGCGGTGCGGCATGCGGCCAAGGAGCTGCAGGAAGATCCAGAAGTGAAGGCTGCCGAGCGGAAGGGGTGGCTGGCCTACCTTGCGACAGATGGCATGAAGCTGAGGGATGCCCCTCCGGAGCTTAAAGACGAGCGGGAGCTGGTGCTGGCGGCCGTGTCCGATTATGGCCCTGCCGTGGTTTTCGCCAGCGAGGCGCTGCAGCAAGATCCGGAGGTGAAGGCGGCCGTGCGGGTGTGGTGGCTGGGCCAAGTGGCGCAAAACGGGAAGTTGGAGGACGTGCCGCAGGAGCTGCGCGACCGGGAGATGGTGCTGCAGGCGGTGGCAAGGGATGGCCGTGCGCTGCACCACGCCGCGAAGGAGCTGCAACAAGACGCAGACGTCCAGGCCGCCGCGTGGCCTTGGTGGCTGGACGCTGTGGCGCAGGACCCCGCGCTGCTGCAGGAGGCGCCCAAGGACTTGCGCACGGATCCGCGCTTCATCCTGGAAGCGGTGCGCCTCACCAGGGCATGGTGGCTAGTGAAGTTTGCCGGGCTTGACTCAGACCGCGAAAAGGAGTTGGAGAAGAAGTGCAGGGCACTTTGCGGTACTGGGCTGATTTTCACATACTACCACAGCTACAATGCCTTTGAATCCATGAGGACTGCCTTTCTCACAACCGGTGCGTCGGTGCCTGGCGGACGGGCATATTCCCGTGTGATGAAGGAGCTGCGTGCGCGCGGAGAGGCCGGAACAGCCACGGTGTGGTTCGATACGGTTCCAGTCTTCGGCGCCTCTGCGGACGACGGCAGGTGGGGTTGCACAAAAGGGAGGGAATAGGACTTTGGTTTTGGGCCGGTCCTTGAACTTTTTGACAAAACATGCGCTATCCCCGGCAAATTCAAGACATGGGGTCTACAAAACACAGCGAAAACCAGCATTGGCAAGACGTCATCACTTGACCCTTGCTGGAGATTTGTTTTTTGGCCGAACGGCGCTCCCAAGCAACAAGAGGAAAGCCAGGGCTCTGCGTTTGCACAATCCCTTCCGGGGAGAGTGATAACAAGACGTGAGTCAAACCGCCTGACGACCGTTGCCTGTATGCTTCCGCTCAAAGTTCGCTGCCAACAAGTCGCTGTCGCGATTGGGGGTCTAAAAACACCGCGCGTTTGATTCACAGCAGGGTCCCTGAGACCGCAAACCACGTCTTTCCTCGAAAAAGCGGTAAACCACAAAAGGCGAACAAACAACAACGTTTCGTTCATGGCATTTTAGGTCAGATTTCACTTAAACTAAAAAAATACAATTATTAAGCTGGAGCAGCCAAAGTGCTTTTAGTGTACGTCGCTTGTACATTGCCGCAATTTGCGAGTTGCATGTGTCCTGAAAGGTTGCAACTTTCAAGCTGGAGCTGCCAAAGTGCACTACTATGCTTGTGCTGAACAGCTGCGATGTTTGAATCGCAAGACAGAGCAGAGACCACCGTTAGAGAAGCTGGCGCTCGACAAATAAGGAGCTGGGAGTGCCCGAGTTGTGTACTTCGTGAATTGCGCTTGCGACAAGTTTTTGCGATGTTCGCTTCATGCTGGCCTTTCCAAGCTGATTTTGTGTGTATGGTTGTGGGCCGTTTGGCACGTCAACAAGTAGCTGCCCTGTGGAGACAAGCTGCAGCACCATCAGGACTTCCCAACGGGATAGCCCCGAAAGGTTTTTGTTTTGGGCAACTTTCAGGTGGATGCACCCCGCGAAGGAGTGCGGGCGAGACATGGTGCCTGTGCCACCAGACTCGCCTGAACGCCACCAAATGTGGCGATCCAATGTGGAGTCCCGCAATGAGGACTCCGCGCCGGAGGCTGGGTCCAAGCACCCCTGCTGGTGCTGCCACTGGATCCGAAAAGTGCGACAGCGCCACCGACAAGGCGCGGTGATTTGCTGCACGGTCTCCAACATCTTTCAGGCAGACTGGGTGGAGAATTACTCGGCGGGCTCCTCCGAGCTGAGCGACGATCGAGCAAAAGAGTTTGGGCTCCCAGAGGAGTCTTTCAGGAATGGAAGGCCTGAGGGCTGGGGCCAGGGTGAAATCCTCATTGAGGGCTGGGACTTGAGCAATGACCGGAAGTTTCAGCGGAAGTTTCAGCGCAAAGCGCCGGTCCATTCACGTACCAGTTTGCCCTTGGGCAGCGGGTGCCGTTGGGAAAGGCATGCCCTGGATGGCATGGACTTCCCCGTTTATGTCTTTTTCATGCCGTGAATTCATGCATGTCATGTTGCTTTCCATCCACAGCCCTCACAAAGTGAGGGGCCAGACTGTGGCTTCACCTCAGGGCCTTGCTTAGGTTCCATTTGATGTGAGTCCTGAAGGCTTGTCAGAAGGATTATTTTAGATTCTGCACTCTTGGCGGTTGCTAAAGGCAACTGGCCTGCCGTTCCTTCGCACAACGACATCGGACGAGCGCAAGGTGCGAATCGCCAACTTCATACTGCGAAAAAACTGGGCAGGGGTCAAAATTGAACCACGAGGGGACCGCAGGTGTTGGTCCATGTTTCCCTTTGCCAGGATTCCATTTTGGGTACATATTTTTGATTTGCAGCCATGTCTCTGACAACAAATTTTAAGTCTTGAGTTTGGGATCGCTGCAGATGGAGCTTCGGAAGTTCCCCTGGTACGACTGCCCGCTCTACAAGGCAGGGGGCTGGGGGCTGGAAGCCATGCTCCGCTGCCAGGGCTTTTGTGCGATTTGGCGTTTTCATGGAGGGTGATGCTAAAGGCACCTGCGCAACACGAGCTGTTGCTTTGGACACAAACATGTAAACGACTTCTGGATATGGAAATGGGACAGTCGGTGCGGCTTTTTCTGCACACTGCTGGGACACGACAAGTGCCTGGCCCCCAAAATCGATGGTGTCCGCGGCCCGCGGACCACTGCCCGTAGAGGGGGAAATGGGCTTGAATAGCGGCCACAGTATCGTGATTGTATATCCCACTAAATACAATTAAACTTAGGTAAATACAGTTACGGTGAAGTGGAAACCATCTTAGATAGAGCCTTCACTGCAGAAGGTGCAGAAGCAAACGATGACACAATTCCCATGGTGCGTCCCGCACAATTTTAGGGATATCGTGGTTTGCCCTTGAATTGCGTCTCATGATTGCAGTGGATGCCAAAAAGCGTTTGTTCCATAGCAATCAGCACAATACTTACTCAAGAACGGCACCCCAAATCATTTGGATTTTGCGGCAGGTTTGCAGAAGCTTTGAAGGGAGCCCTTTCCGTAAGACCAAGCCTAGCAGAAGCTCTTGACAAGGTGAAGCAACGGCTCCTTGCACGGCCTAGACAGTGTGCTGGTGTTCCTGAACTTTCTCATTCCTTTGCGCGCTGCTTGCCGAAGCAAAGCCTCCAAACACCAGCGAAGGAAGTGGAAGCCTGCGATGAAAGGCATGCAAGTACCATAGAGATTTGCCCGGCGCCGGCGCCAGGGCTGCGAAACGGTCCACGGAAGCTTGAATAATTTCCGCACAAGGATCAGCTTCCTGAGATTTCTTGAATATGACATGGGTGCACCACATCATACATGGCAAGCTTGGCGCAGACCTCAAGGTGAAACCATTTGTCACTGAAGGTGCATGTGTTTCTTCAGTTTGCCGGTCAGGTCTCTACCAGGAAGGGAGTTCTATCCACCACCGGGCACAGCACCAACTTCGTCGGATCCTTAGGCGTGGCGCCACATTGCGCCCGTAACTGTTGGCCAGGCACTTGAAAGTTGCTAGGCCTACCACCAGTTTACCAACACCATATTTGGCCACATTTGTTCATAGGGAGCCTCCAAAATTGGTGGACCTGGGTCCCTACCTAAATGAGGTCCACCAACACAATGTTCATCCATTCGGAAACCGTCGAGACAGCCTGGGCTCCTTGCGGTGGCTGAGGTCATGCCCATCAAGCTGAGATCATCCCATCCAGACGCTCGGCTGCACGGCTTAGCTTTCCAAGAGGCGTCAAGATTAGGGACTCCTCCAGGCGGATGGCTTCATCTCGTGGGGAGGTTGCAAAACAGGCAAAACGGGGCCCCTGTCTTGATTGCCACACCCAAATACAAACTTCAGATGTGCTTGAACTTATCGCGCTGGCACTGGTGATTTGTGGCAGTTGTGTCCAGGAGTCTCATTGGGTGAAGCGGGGCGTCGCCATGCTGACACAACTGGATGCGTAGAGAAAGTGTTGTGAGTGCCGCAAACTCGACCCAGCCTCGTCCAATCTGAGTGACGTCATGTTGCATGCACCCGATTCTGCCGCCACAACTCAAGGCATTCCTTTCACCTTATGACTTGCTTTGTATCTTGCAATACCACACTTACTGTAGCTGGGCAATGTTTGGGGCAAGGCGGGGGCTGTCCATCACCCATGTGAAACACAGGTGTGATGGTCATGTCAAGTACCTACAATTTGGCTGAGCCATGTGCGAGGGAAAAGAACCCGTGCACAGAATTGGAGCACTTGAATTGTAGGAGGGCCCTTTGCTTTGAGCGCAGCCGTTGGGGGGCTGAAATCGGGGGGACCCAGTGAAACCCATTGATACATGGGCAGTCCTCCTCGATGTTCAGCCTCCTTTTGGCGTCCCCAGACGCCAGCCCCAACTCGATGGATTGAGAGGCAAGCCAAGCGCCTGTGATGTGCGGCAAGATGATGTCAGCGAAATTGAAGGGAGGCTATGTGCCCAGATGACAGGTTTGGTACATTTATTGGTGACAATCGCCTTTCAAGCGAACTGATCGAAGCTTTTGGTCTAACCGACTCAGGCAATGGCCTGGAGCTTCGCAAAAGCTGTGCTCTCCCTGAGTCACAGGCTATTGCATTCCCTCCACCTTTGGCTCAGCTGTGTAGTTTTGCGTCAGCCATGGCGCCGAAAAAGAGGACTATTTGGGGGGGGTGATCGGATCTTCGGACCACAATCGGGGAGTAGTTTAGTGGGCAACAGCGAGGGCTTCCCTCAGCTTCCTCCAGAAGGTTGTGGGTCGCTTTGGTTGCAGAGAAGCAGGGGTGATGGTCAGCGTTTGTCAGCATAATTGGTACACTCGTAATTGTCAAAGCGTCTAGCATGTTTGGTATGTTTGGGTATGGCCGGCATTGACACCGTGCACTAGACACAGCCGACTGATGGCAAGCAGCAAAGCAGATCAGGCTGAGCAGACACTGTTGCAAAACCGGTCTTTACCCTGCCAAGGCAACATTTTTACTCCTATGGTGCATCTTCAGGTGTGTGTGCTTTGTCTCAGAGTGCTTCTGCAGATGTTTGGCTGGGACGTTCCTTGGTGCGAGTGATTTGTGCCCTTTGACCTCGAAAAAGCGTCCTTGCAAGATCTTGCAAGCCTTGCAATTGCCACGTAGAGGGAACAGAGGAAGCAGCAAGGTCTAGTTGAGCCATGAAATTTATGAACGTGTTCCGTGCAGAGGCTTGGACTCAAGCCCAGACAGCCGGGCGGAAGCTCCCTCGTGTCAGGAAGGCTTCGGGCGCAGCCGCGAAAGTGGAGACTGGCACGTTTCGACTCGGTCGCCAGACGCGAGCTTTGCTCCGATGCAAACGCCAAGAGCCTCCCCAAATTCAGAGCTATGGGTTTTGAATGCAGGTTTGATTCGGTGTTGTATTGATTTTGGTCTTTCCGAGCTTCATGAGGTTGGCAATAGTTTGCAAGCGTGCAAACCCAGGTCGCCACTGCTTAGAACTGTTTCTGTCACCTGAGTTTTTAAGGGCGGGCTTACACTGCAACGCTTGAGCACAAAACAACAAGACGGGATGCGCTTTGGCAGGTTCCAGGTGTGTATGTGTTGCTTTGGAGGCTGAGAACAGGAATGGTATGCTACTAATGTTCCAAGTGCGGAACAATAGTTTCTGGAAAACGGAAGAGGTTCTGTGTGCCCGGAGTGGCTGAAGACATGTCATGCGCATTGGGATCAACTCTTCATTCGACATTCTGGCCGTGCAGCAGGAATGCGGATCATGCAAGGCTATGCAAGGCTATGCACAGAATGCAGAGATTGAACACTGATTGAACTTGTGGAATCCGGCTAGTGTTGCTACGGATTTGCTCGAAGATGCCGCCTCACAAGAAGACCGACGAAATCAAAAGAGGCCACGCAAAACGCACACACACACACACACACACGCAGAGTGAGTCGGACTTGCCGTTTTAACCCGCAGGCACTCGAAAACCACATCACAACCGCCCAGCATCCGCAGCACAATTCCTTTAAACGATAAAACCAAAAAAACATAGCACACCACTGCCCGGCTCCATTTGGTTGCCATGCCGGCTGAGTCGCATGTCATCTTTTCCGAGGGCCCCGAAGCCGCGGAAGCCGCGGAAGCCGCGGAAGCCGCGGAAGCCGCGGAAGCCGCGGTGCGGGTGTACTCGCTGGGGGGGAAGCTGCTGCTCGAGAGAGAGGCGATCGGAGCGGTGGCGGATTTGCTGCAAGACCTGAGCCTCCGGCTGCGGGTGTCCCGGTACCGACTGAAGTTGATGGCAGGAGAGGAGGAGTTGCACCCTGGCATAGAGAAGGCAAGAGGCGAGAGGTAATTATTGAGATCAATGTATATTATATTTATACCAGCTTGGCATGGTCCAACGTTGGTTTTTTTTGGGGCTTCCCTCGGGTTTCGTTTTAGTTGGGCAGAAGTAGCTCTTTGGTTTCCGCAATGTTTCAGCTCCAGGCAAGAGGAGCTGGCGCTGGATGGGCACTCAGACCTTCAGCTCATCATAGGGGAGGTGGGCATGGCTCGTCAAGATCCTTTTTGTTTTTTTCTTCTTGTGGTTCCCTTCAAACCAACTTGAAAAGGCTACTCTCAAAAAGCACAGAGACCTATCTCAGGCACGCAGACAGACACACACACATCCGCGCATGGGACCAAAAGTCAGGTGGATCTCCGCCGGAACCGGCTGCAGCCAGGGCGCATTGTGTCCGTGCGGCGAGCGGGCGCCACGCACCTGGAGGTGGCCGTCCAGCCCGGGATCCTCTTCGACACCTTCGACGCGACTCAGCGAGTGTGTCATCGGGTCCGCCTCAAGGGCCCGGGCAACTTGCGGCTGCCCTACGAAGCAGTCGAAGAGGAGAACAAGGTGATGCTAAGGGTGAAGCAGAGCAGTTTTGCCATGTTCTATGAGCTGCTCTTGCACTACTCATGGGTGAGCCTTGAAACCTTCCTGCGAGATGAGCAGGGCTTTGAGTACAACTCCGACGCCACTCGCTGGTTGCCATCAAAGTGCTGTAGAGCCGCGAGCTTTCAAGCACTGCTTCGGATGACCTTCGCTGTGGTTGGCTACTGGTTTATTGACTGTCTTAGCCTTGCTGCCAGCATGTATGCAGCAGTGCTGGCAGTGAAGTCCCAGCATTATGTACAAGCTGAGCTGTTGATGGCAACGCTATGGCTACCTGGGCTCCTATGCACAATGCAGGCAATGTATTTCGGGTTAGGTGACAAGGTGGTTGGGCCGCTCTTTTCCGTGGGAGTCCTGATTCCCAGCTGTTTCCTGATGACATTCTGGTGCACTTGCAGCATGCTCCGACTCTTGCTGCATCTAAATGGGTTTTCCATTAAAGAGCCCTGGCTGGATCTCTGGGACTATCTGCCCTATGAGTTCTACATGAGCTATGTGCGGCGCTTGGGGGATGGCCCCAGGCTTGGACGCCGCATTGTGAAGCCAAAGTTTCCAGCCCGAGGTCGCTCTTTGGAAGTCCCCAGCCCGGTTCCTTGGGTTTTCCACGTTGTTTGTAGTTTGGTCGCTGAAACGTCGAACTTTTAGGGAATAGGAGGACAGCCCTGTTGAGGGTTTATGGTAGTTGGTTCTTTCAGAAGCAACATCACCACGAGCCCTTGGATAGTCCTTGGGACCGTTGTGACGATCGCGCTTTATCAACCCTGAATGAGTTTAAGTATGTGTCCGAATCGGGCACCCCCGAACTTGTGGTTTGCCTTTGATTTCCTTGGAGACCACTCCGCCCAGGTGAGAGGCTGATACCCTCAAACACCCACACAGATGGTATTCGTTTCAGGTTGGTTCAAAGGCATGTGGCTGTGGGTCAAAACCAGTGGTACCATTTTGGGGTAGGTGCACCACCCATTGTAGAACCTATTTTAGTGGGGATTGGGATGTTCACTGAAGGTACGGAATTTTGGGTTTTGACCCATGGCCACATCCATTTTGGAGGCTGGTGCTGTGTTTCTCCCTCTTCCTCCTGGGTGAACCTCTCACTGGCTCTGAGCCCATTGACCGGCTGGTGCTGGCGAGCGCTGCCTTGGCGCTGCTGCAGCACGCGCGAGGTGCCTCCCAAACAGCTTCGGTGTTCCTGTTGGTTTCCTCTTCAAACCAACCAAAAAAGACCCGATCTACGAGTGTTTCTCAAACTAGTGGACCCCTCTTTTGGTGTAAGACAAAAGGAAACCAACCATAGGAGACCACTCTTTGGAGAAGCCCTCAAATTTGGCTTTAACAGCCTTTTGGTTTCCCTTTCAAGGGGCGCGGGGGTTGCTTGTTTCAACACCAGCCCAAGTCTGGCACGAGGACGCCACTTGCTGTCGCAGGACGTGGCGCGGTGTCTCTTTCAGCCCTCACAGTGCTTTCACAACGAGCTTCATCTTGAACAAAACATGGCGGAACAAGACTGGTGTCCATGAGTGACCATGGGCTTTGCGTGCCAATAGCGCAAGAACTCGATCCACGGGTGGGGAAGTAGCAAAGCACTTCTCGCCTCGGCTTCTAGAGCATTGCGGAGACTTGGAGGATTAGAAGCCTTGAGAAGCTCCGGGTTCTCTACTGCGATCCTTGATGACGGCGCTCCTCCCTTGTACAGCTGCGCGTCGAATCGAAAGGAGGGGACATGCGAAGATTGAGGATCAGATGGGCAGTGGGTATCCTCCCCCCGAGCTCGCTATCCTGTGTTGGACGAGCGGGCCAAGCGACATGACTTTGAGAAGCCATAGCTAGCCCCAGCGAGACTTGTTTATTGTTGTAGTATATTCTAGGTCCCCCAGTAGTGCCCTTTTACCCTTTTTTGCGGGAGGGTTCCTCTACTAAAATAGACTACAGGAAAAAAAGGGGTACCTTATTCTAACCTCTCTACTGGAGGACCTAGTACTGTTAAAGCCAGGCAATGGCCTCCAAATGGTGGGTTTCGCGTTTTGGGGTCCTTTGACCTGGACCAGCAAGAGGCCAACACGCTTTGTGACTTGAGACGTGAGGCTGCAGACCTTGCACCGAGCATTGCATGTCAGGTGAAGCAAGAGCCGTCTTCGGCCCTCGAGGCCAGAATTTCCAATCCGATGGTGAGTACTACGAGTTTTTGCGTGCAACAACTCCGCATTCCTTGAATCGAAGCAGGGCAAGCAAGGCAAAGAAGGAATGAGGCAAAAGCCAAAAGATGCTCTAAAAGTATGCAACGAGACACGAAATCGCTGTCATCCAATGGTAGTTAGAAGTGTTGCTTGCTCGTGGGAGTGCAAGGGATACTGGGTGTATTTGTGTAACGTGCGCAAGGGAACCCACCCAAACCCGCTACAAAGTCAATCTGGAGATGCTGGTCGTCTCGTGTGACCCAGTTGTTCCCCTCAGAACCTGAGCTTTCTGGAGAGCGATGCGGCCGGGACCCGAGAGATCCCATTTGAACCACAATCAAAACCCGGGTAGACGAAGGTTATGGGGCAGTCCCAGCCAGAAATAGTTGCGGCCGCCTTCTTCATTCTTTACATGGTGGGCAGACCTTTTCACCGGGTTTTGCTTGTGACTCATTTGTGTCCCCTTCAGGCAAGCCTCACTTGTGGTTTGGTTCGGGGCGGCTCCATCCACTTCCCTTTCAGGCAGGGGAAGGTACCGAGCCTCCAAACCACCAAGCCAGCAATTCGTGGGAAGCTGTCTGGTGAATTCAAAAGGAATGAAAGACCGCCGGCCTTTTTTGCCGGGGGGAGGCCTTGAGACAATCACCCGGTTGCCCGGTGCCCTCTTGCCCTTTCTTTGGAAAGGGTTCCCATTTAACGTCAACTAACCAAAAAAGGGTGTCCCTTTTTCCCATGGCCGACATCTGAGATCAGATAGAAATGGATTGAAGGGCAAGGATTCCAAGCTAAGGAAGAAAAGTGTTATTTTTGCCGTTGCCTGGTTTTACATCGCAGGCTGGTGTAGGCAAAATCATGTTCACAAGCTTTTTTGGGAACAGCGGGATACGGATTTGTGGGGGGCTTTTGGAGGCATACGAGTCACGTGGACTACGTACAGTAGTCTTCCATGCATTTTCTTTGCTCACACTACTTTTGCAGAGTCCCTCACACGTTGACACATTCCCTTGATGCCGCATTCCCGCGATTTAGCAGGCCAGGTGGATTTAGCTGATATTGTAAGAGGGTAATGTTGGAAGCATGTACGCTGCTACTTCAGAGTAGGGAGTTAGAGGGAGCACTTGCTTGTTGGTGTTCTTTGGAAGACAGGGGTGGCGAGACAGCAACAGTTGTCAGACCTCCCGTTTCGAATGGCGTGCCTTGAACAGGTGTTGAAGCATTTAACATATTCAAACATGGCAACATCCATTTCCAATCACCGAGCATTGTGACAGCTTGCAAAGCCTTGCCCGTTCACACCAAGGATGGCCATGTCGTCGCTTCCCTTTATCGGGTAGCCTCCAGCGACCCTTGCCGTGCAAGACGGCCAGAGCCTCATGGTACACCAGTGCCACCAGAGCGTGCTCAGATGTTTGTTTCACCATCACAAGTAGGCAAAAGATGGCAACCGTATGGACGAACCACCCTGTTCGTATCCCCAGAATGAGGGTGACATGTTGCAACTTGGGTGCGGTTGAGACTGGTGAGACGGTCCCAAGGCTTGATGCTCGGGCATTTGCTTGCCTCAGGCCTGTCCAGGATGAGGGTAGCGCTGTGGTGGCAGGCCAGGTGGCCGGCAAGCGCAGTCAACGAAACGCCGGCCGACATCTCTGTCAATGTGAGTTTTCGGGGGGAAAGCCCTTTTTTGGGACTGATAGAGGAAGCAACGGGAACTCAGGCAACATGTTGGCTGAGATTTACCCATGCCCTGTTACGATCATTGAAGGATGGACACAGGCCCCTTTTCCCGAGGTATATCAGAGACGCATTCTGTACGGGATGAATGTGCGTGTCCTTTTCCGCTGATTTTGACAGGGGATCCTTGCTGTGGCGGCGGCGAAACGGGAAACCAATACCAACCATTTGGGGAGCTCATTTGACACATTTCCAGGTGTGTTTCAGTTGGTGCCAAGGCATGGCCTATTAGGTGTTTTCCTCGAGGCCTGTTCCAATGTTCAAAGGGGGAGTATTTTATTTGTCGGTAAGGAAGGATGCCTTGCTTTTAATTTGAGACGACTAAGCAATGGCCATTGCGCCAGGGCCCACGTGTCAGAGTTTCACAGCATGTTGCGGCAGACTTGCTCGGAAAAGCAGTCGCAAACTATGGGATCTGTTTGCAACCCTTTTTTTGCAACCCTTTTTTTGCAACCCTTTTTTGCAACCCTTTTTTTGCAACCCTTTTTCCTCATGTGCCGCCCGTGAAAGGGGGTCGAGCAACATCTGCCGTAACTTCCACTCTAGCCCTTTAGAGTTTCTCCCTGTTGGTCCATTTGTCGTCATGGCTCCCAAAAGCTTAGGTTAACCTTTTACCATATATATCATGGGTCGTTTGGACTGACCAAAGCTCCGTGGCCAGTGACGAGTTCGGCTCAGATCGTCAGATCGAGCGGATTGCCATGGACCTCTTCAGGGCGTGCTCCCGGGCTGATGATGGCCCCATCAACCCCCAGGATCCCAAGTATCAGGTGCGCCGAACCGAAGCGAGCGAGTCGCTGTCTGTACGGATCGGTTCGAGTTCAGATCACTACCAAATAGCTCCAAAAACACGAGAGAGGTTCGGGCCTAGGACAGTCGTGCGGGTGCATTTCAACCGCAAGTGGTTGGCAAAATCCATGTTCTTGGTGGCTGTCTTGAAGCTTGGGGCACTTTTCGCACGTTGCGTGAATATGATGGTAGCTGAATAGGTGACGGCGTGGGGCCACGCGGCACAAATTTGGGCTCCAGGATACGGGCTCAACTATTTGCACGTGAAGCTTGCTTGTGAGGCGTAGGAATGCGTATGTTTGAGGCTCCAAGCCATTAAGCAATCCAAAATCTACCCGCAACCATGTCATGGAGAGGTGAATATGAAACAAACGCCTTTTCGGCCCTTCTATTTAGTAACTCTTCTTTTCCCCTGAACCTGGCATCGCCCATGGATTTGTCGCCAGGCGGACGAGAAGTTCAAGCCTGACAAGGAGTCCGCTTGGGAGCAGAGGCCAGTGCACCGGGACAGCTGGACGCTGTCTCACAATGCCATCCGAGGAGCCCTGAATGGATCCAGCCACAAACTCTTCGGGGGTGTCTTGGGTTAGGGGACCCCCCCCCCCCCCGCAAACAAATGAAAATAAGACAACGGTGGGGGTTGGTGCGGGCTCCCTTAGATGTTCCTTTAGGACCACAAAACAAGAGGTGCGCTCAGGAAAGGACACCACAAGTCAATTTCACCAGATACTTGTTTGGCTTTTTCCACCACTGAAAAAAAGATCCACTGAGCCCCAAAGCCGCTGAGTGTGTGAACCACCAGACCTATGCTTATCCGACTCGCATCAACTTTCAAGCACCACTTTTGAGCATGTTTGTTTAGTTTCCCTATCTACCTCATGATGATGTGGGTGGTAGAATCATATGTTGGTATCGCGCTGAAAAAGGTAAGCACACCATAATGTGATGATAATCCAAGATTCATAATGCCAGCATTTGGTTAATTCATAAAGAAACGTCCCACTTAAGATGCCATCCATTTCACACAAGTGGGGAACCCCCCCCCCAAAGAAAATCCCAAAACTTTAGTCGCCCACAACTCATCCCTTGAGCTAAGCGCTGAGGAGAGATGAAGGAACTCCACGGGGCGCTAAAGGCGGCCGCTGGCCGCGGGGGGCTGCAGCCCTGGGAGACCAAGGCACTGAAGGACGCGTTTGCGGAGCACTCGGCCCATGTCAAGGCCCACTTCGCCAACGGGGAGGCGACGAGATAAGGGAAGGGTGCCGGGGCGTTTCACGGGTTTTAGAGACCCAAACCAGGCGGGAGTGGTAAATCAGGCACACTTGCCCTTTTTGGATTGGAACCGTTCCTTTTGAATGCAAATGGGGAAGGTACCCCCGAACCTCCAAACCAACTCACCGAGACGGAAGCTGAGGGTACCCAAAAGCGTTTTAAAGGGCGCTACTTTGACAAACCCAAAAGCAAACCAGGCAGAACTGGGCTGGTCAAAACAGACCCAAAAGGGCGGTGTATCCTTTGGTTTCCCTTTTGACCCCCAAAGTGCGACCCGGAAGGGTTAGGAGGTGAGGCGTGTTTCCTTTAGCAAGAGGCGTGGGATCCTTTGGTTCGTTGGGTCACAACTCCTTCGGAAGAAACCACGAAACTGGGAAGATATTCAGGACATGTTAATATGTGCGACCGCCATAGAGGTTTTCATGTGATACTTTGGCTTCGATCGGTTCGATTCATTTGGGTGTGGCTCAAAATTTAAGAGCCAGGGTTACGCAGGTGTTAGTCTTTGGTTCCATTAACCAAGGTGCCATTTTGGCTAACTATTTTTGAGCCACAGCCATTTGATGAGTCCTCACATTGGGCAGCTGAAGGCTGTTATGGCTCGTTGATGCTTTGCTCTCAGCCACACCTGCGAACGTGACAATTTCTCACTTCTGAATTATACCATGGCAGTTATAGCATCCTACAACCTTCTGTTATGTTTCTTTCATTCACCCTTGTTCGTCTAGCATGTTTTCCTTCAGTCTTTGTCTTTCAATCACAGCAAGACATGTGAAGACCGGACTTAAAAATCCGACGCTTCTCTCCAGGATGTGCTGAAGCCATTCCTTGCTCCACGCATCAAGCTGGACCCAAAGCTGAGCAGCAAAAGTGGGAAGAGCTTGGAGTGTTTGGCCAAGCTGGACGAGCAAGTGGGCGCTCTCAGTGGAAATGCGGAGGAGGTGGGGAAATGGCCTCGACTTCCCATGGTTTGGTTTTCAGGGGAAAGTAAGAGGACGCCGAAAACTCGATTTTCCTTCTTCTTCTTTTTGGGGGGGGTCCTGTCTTCTGGCTTGAGGTGTTAAAATCCTTCGAGCCCTACATGACTGACATGCTCGACTACCTTGGGGCCGAGGAGGGTTCTTCGTTGCTGCTCATGCGGGCCTACTTCACGCCAGATGAGGTCATGCCAATTGTGCTTTGGATGAAGTTCACTGGGCTCGCACGGATGTGCCGTCTGCGTGGCGCACTCCTTGTAGGTTCAAGTTGAGTTTGCACGAGGGTGCTCGGAATGCAAAAGCTCTGGCCGCCGCCAGCAATTCGAGTGTTTGGAAGCACAGAAAAGTGCAACAGCAATCAAAGAGCCTTAGGAGCCACTGGCAGGCGGATGCCCACAGCAGACCAAAAGGGGGCGGGTTCGTTCATTTGGGCAATTCGTTCGGCCTGAGGTTCAGAAGTTGGCGGCTCAATCTCCGGGCGCAGCCATCGGAAGCATGGTGTACTATGCAGGCGACGACACCTTTTCAGAGTACATGACACAGGAGAGCATTGGAAACTTCGGGCGCCGGGCCCAGTTTTGAGAAGCTCAAAGGGCTGGCCCAGCGTGAGCCCAAGCTTACCGTTGAAATCGAGTCTGTGAATCCGATAGCCAGCCACAAAGCCGCAGAGTCGTGATGTGTTTGGACATCAAGCCCCGATTGAGCGTGTCCTGTTTGTGTTGCCGAGAGGAGACAGGCTCATTTGTTGCCAGAGGCGGATCTTCAACGGAAACAGAGACGCGTCCTTTGGGACAAGCCAGTGTCATGGTTTGGTTCTTGTGTCCAAGTGACTAGTGGGTAAGGATGTTCTGATGGAAAAGGTGTGTTCGATGTGAGACTCAGGTGGTACTTCAATTACAAGGGCCAGAGGGATAGCTTCAAGAAGTCCTTCGTCCAAAACCTGGAGAGCGTGTCGGCGGGCAAGATGCCTAGCAGCTGCTCCATGTTTGGCTGCTGAATGCTGCTGACTCTCTGATCCGTCCTGTGGTTTGCACCGTGGTTTTCCCTTAGGGAGTCCGGTCTGTCAATCAGACCGTGTCACCGTGCAGATTTCTTTCCTCATAACTAGGTCAGGCACGGGCGAGGCCATGAGACAGATGAACTCATGCACGTCTCACCTGGCGAAGGCACTTCCGCCTGACCTGCGGGGGATTGTACTTGATACTGGTGCTGTCACTGCCTGCTGCTCGCACCGTAAGGGCGAACAATGAGCTCAAAACGCAGGAAGCCAATGGAGGGTATTGCAGCTTGTGCGAAGTACTGCATGTATGAGAAAGCACCTCCCCAGTCTTTCCTGTCGAAAGAACCAATCAATAGCATTGGCGTTTGCATGTGCTGTCGCACGGAGCCGGCAACGCAGGGACCTTCCCGAATCCCTTCTTGGCCATCGACTTCAATGACCGGGCTGCATCGCTTGTCCAAGTGATTTGTGCTAACATGCCTTGCAAAAGCAGTCTCACAAGTGCTTTTGCCCGCATGGAGTTGCTCCCAAGCTGTCACCCAGACCATTTTTTCTGCGAACCTCGAGCGCTTTCGAGGACAAGCAAGGAGTTTGGCAGAAGGAGATCGCCCTCACCAAGGCCCTTGGAGAGGCGGGAAAGTTCGATGTCACAGCCCAATGTGAAGGTCAAGATGGCAAATCGGTGCGGGGATGTGGTTCGAATCCTGGGATCTCACCCCACCAAAAGCTGGGTCTCATGAGAGTCTCATGTTGGTTCCCCTGTAAAACGGGTCCACATTGGGATCTCTAGTTTGACACCCACAATGTTAATGTGCAGTTGACTCGAAGCAGGACACAATGAGCGCACCTCCCATTTTGCAGACTTTGGTCCGTGACTTTCCATGACCAACCAGCAAGACTCGGAGAATCATGGTTTGCGGTTTCTCAATCAGCAGTCGGACTGTGTCAGACTGCGGCTGCTGTTTTTGCCCATTACAAAGTTACAACGGCCGCGATGTCAACCCACTCCCAGTTGAAAGTCAAGTCATTCGACCGCCGCGTGCATATCGCCCCAGCCTCGTGGCTTCTTGACTCCATCATCTCGACTGGACATGAATTAGACATCCTCAACTGCCACTATGATTGACAGTGTGTGTGTGTGGGTTTCTTGGTACGTCCTTCTTATAGATTTGTACCCCCAGCTTTGACTGTCAAACCTCAGAGCGCCACCTCAGTTGCTTATATTATTGCAGTTCCTGTCCCCTGGAATTGCTGATGGGCGATCTCAAAGTGATCCAATTCGATCGTCGCTCGCAAGGGCGCACACTGGAGGGTCCAACAGAGTCTCGTTTTTCTTCATTCATCTCCGCGCACAGGACCCAGGTGTCAACTGCCGACATCGAATAGGAGATCGTTGGCGACCTGCCGGTCTCAGGAGCGGCCCGGGACATTGGCCGGGTCAAAGATGCGCAGCATCAGCGAGGCTGCGACGCGAGAGTGCATGTTACGTTAGCGCATCTCGGCATGTTTAAAGCCGGTCTTGCCCCATACACCACTCTCAACCACAAGCCATGTCGATGTTTTGAGTTTTGGCGGCACTGTGCCTGCTTTTTGGCTCCGCATCATCGTAGTCCCTGAAGCTGAGTTTGCCAGACGGATTTCTGTGAGCAGTCGGGTTCGAAAAATGATGCACAGAGCGGGGAGTGAATACCTGGCTTTGTTTGTGACTAAGATAGCTTCGCTGATGGGCATGTTTATGCACCCTCGCCCTCACAGACAGGCTTCCTTGTAGAGCTTTCGCAGCGCTGTTTTTGCAGGCCGCTTCATGAAGGTCTGATTATCCACTTCTGAGGTAAATCTCCGTTAGAGTTTCGGCAGAGTTCCTCCACATTGCAACAGAAGCACAACAAATCGCAGGAAAGCTTGTTTCAAGAACGTGTGAGTGATTCTTGTTCAGCTGATCAGAGATCTTGTTCAGCCCAAGAAAGTGAGAAATGCAGATTTTTGGAGAGGCAACCCACCATAACCACCCAAAGCTCGCAGAGGCTTCACCGACCCTGCCAATGGGTTGTCTCCGAGCCCGCTCCACACCCGCTTCGAGACCGTTCTAAGACTGCCTCCGTCAGAGCCGAATTCACGCACGGGGCCACGTTTTCAGCTTGCTTCTATCGCCACTGTCTCTCGTGTTGTCCAGCTTTTCATAGTTTTTCACGCGCAGCGCATCTAGTTCTGAAGATCACGCGCAGGTGCATGCATTTGCATTCAGTTTTGAAGCGAGCTAGATCAATTCGGCCCGAAAATTCCTTCTCCAGCTTCCTTTGAGAATATATACACGGACACTCAGACATAGACGTTTACGGTATACAACGTAACATATATCTGTATGAACATGCCTAGGCCTTTGCCAAACAGCTTGTTCAAAGGAACAGGACATCGGTCGATTGATGGCTGCATTTTGAGACTTGGACTGCAGGAATTTGGGTGCAACTTGCTACCTCAACAGCTTGCTGCAGTACTTGCTGCTTGGCGACACTGTAGATGCGGAGCCACAGTGTTATGGCTCCAGGTGTCATATGTACATGTCTGGGCTTGGAGGTACCATTGTTGACTTCCGGTGGGAATCTTAAGTGTTGAGTGTTGCTTTGTGGCATTCGTGTGGTTTGGCGTGGCTTGGAAATGCGTTCCTTGTTTGTGGTGTAGCTTGGCGCGTCTGGCATTGGTTCAGTTTGGTTTGATTTGGCTAGTGTTGATGTTATTGGACTTGGCATGCTAATTAGCCCACAACCAAGCAGAAACCTGAAAAAAGGATGGGTATATAGCCCCGTGAGAATTTGCCGAGTTGTTTGTCACTTTGGCGCTGGTGTGAGTGTGCATGTTGGCGCTGCCAGGTTCTTCAACCTGGACTTCCGCTACAGCCTGCTGAGGACGGAGCACTGCCAAACACACAAACCTGCGCGCGCGTCCATTCCTTGCGTCCGAGAGGCTCGATCCCCGGGTTAGGAAAGCTCAGGGCGTTGATTCAACTGGAGAGCCCTAAAAGTGGCTGGTGTTTTTTTTGACTCTGCTGCCGGCTCCTTTTGCGTGCCCAAACAGCGGCGGCCTGTCCATGGGACTGAGGTTGATCCTCAGGCCCCACAGGGGCGAACAGGCTCGTGGACGCCTTTTCCATCCGCTCGCAGTCGATCTCAGGACTCAATCAGAGAGCCAAGTGGTTGCGGCCTTGCAGCAGGCCGCAGGGGGTTCCACAGTCGCAAGGCTCGTTGGCTCTTTGGGGACCCAGGCACTTTGAGCCATAGGATGCGCTTGCTTGGCGAATCCTATCAAGTTTACCTATGTTTCTGCTGCAGCACAATGATGGCATCATCCCTCCTCAGCATGATGTGCTCTCTAAACGAATACTGGGCGATGCAATGGGATTAGCTGTAGAGTTGCCAGCTTTGCAAAGCCAGATAGCACCTAGTATTCAGCATCACGGCACTTTCTGCTGCGATGTTTGAGCTGGCATGAGATATCAAACCGACTACTTGCGCTTCCTTTGAGGATCAAGAAATCTGACAATGAGGCCCTTTGCAGTGTTCAATACGCAGGGCAGTTCTTCTGTGCTCTTTTCTTCGCATGTATCTGCCCTGCGGGAGCTTTCCCGCTCGACCAGGTGTTTGCTTTGCTCGCGGAGGGCGAGTCACTGGTGGTGGATCCCAAGGCGAGAGGGGAGGGAAAAGGTTCAAAGCATATTTGTTATCCGATAAAATGGTTCACATGGGCATCACTTAAGGCTTGATTAGAGCTTTGCCTGGCTGATCATGATTCACCTTGCATAGCCAGATTGCCATTTTGCAGCGCTCAAATTGTACATGATGTTGTCAGCGAATTCTGGCTGTGCATTTTTGCTGCGTTCCAGGACTTTATCACTGCGGCTCGAGTGGACGCGTTGGAGCAGGCTTGGGAATGCGCCAGAGTGGATGATGAATTAAGCTGTGTTGTGCAGACCACATCCCACATTCCGACGAACTCAAGGCGAGGTTAACCTGTTAAACTGGATGCGCACCCGGAGTGGTTGAATAGAGGTATCGAGCTCCAAGATCCTCAAAAAGGTCGGTTAGATTAGTTTTGCGGGTAGATAGACCAGCCACCTTTGTTTCGTCAGAAAGACATAGATGCATCCCTTTAGTTGGATCGCTTCGTTGGTTGGCCCAGTGTGTGCCTTGATAGGAGTGTGTTGTGCAGGACCGATGGGGATGGTGTTTGTGACTGTGTCTCAGCAAAACTGGCCGGACACTAGCAGAGGCCTCAAAGACGACCGTGTGCAACCCATCCACGCGACACGCACCGCCGAGAAGACGCCGAAACCAGGTGAAGCGCGACAGTGAAAAAAGGGGCAAGCTCCAAAAAAGGGGGCGCAATGTGAAGCCAAAGCGGACGGGGAGAAGTCAAACCCCTGCTGGCGTGTTCACTCCGGCACAGGCGGACGCCACGGAGTTTAGTGCTCTGTTATTGGACTGGCTGCAGCGGGAGCTATCCAGCCGGGCACCGAGCGCGTCAAATAGGGTTTGCAAGCTTGGAACAGGCCCCGCTTGATTTGGTCGCCAGGAAACCAAAGGGAGGCTTAAAAACACTAGCTGTTGGCATGCCGCAATCAGGCATTGAGGCTTCCGTTGGCAACAGTTGTGGTGTAATGTGGCCCGGATCCCATCAGCGGACTCCATCGACCTTTGCAACAATAGCTGTTTAAACGTTCAAACTGCGTTTGAGACATACCTTACCCTTCCACCAAACACAAATCACAATCCTTGTTTTAAGACTATGCGTCGAATAAGAACGTGTTTTCTCGCAATCATGCGATCGAGCAGGCCATCCCAACATCGTGGAATGTCCGGTCAGCTTCCATGGAGGGAACCGGCTTTCAACCAGATCATTCTCCCCGGCGTTCCGGTTTCACTGGCGCTTGGATCCCATTCCATTGTGGCGAGAGTCATGAGCAGGGCTACAAAGACCGCTAGAATCGACGGACACCTTAGGGA